AGAGAGAGAGAGAGAGAGAGAGAGAGAGAGAGAGTCCAATTGACTTGGATTGTCTGGTGATGTTGACGTTGTTGAACACTAAGACGCGGGGCAGAGGAACTCAAAACCCATGCATGGGCAGCATGGAGGGGTCATTCATGGAGCATTTTACTACTGTTCAGCTGGTATTTTTGTCAGGACCATCTTCGATTCTATAGATTAAAAGCTCAAGGCATTCGTTTTCTATCGATGCTTCCACAGCTTCCTCTTTTCATAGATGTTTACCTATGTCTACCCTTACAGGTACGTATCAATCAAGTCAAGTGATTGATATCCAACACCCCACTACTCGGATTTAATGACCCTCAAGCGTGACGACCATCTTCATTGGGGCCGACAGGAACAGTCTCCACAGCTGCTAAACATGTACGATGAATCTGATTCGAGGCAACTTGCCATTCACAAATGGGCTCCGGTTGGATAAGCCTTGTCTGGTCGCTCCGTCGTTTTTTTCTCAGTCGAATGTCGAATATTTTTTTTTAAATTTTAATTTTAGTTTTGATTCATACCCCAGATCGGGTTGTGCCATCAGTTGCGACTAAAAACCCTGATCCCCGTCGGAATCTAATGATCCTGGAGCAGATTTATGCTAGTCATAGGGATCGGCGACTTCGATGTCTCTCACAACTTCTACAGACCGACTACCAGGGGAGACACATAACATGTTGCCGTTGACCATGAACGCAACCGAGGGTAACGATATGATTAAATGGAAAAAAAAAATTTGAAAAAGTTAAAAGGATTATCACCAGCCAGCCTTCTCCAAGCTGACCGAATATAACTAACCAAGAATTAATGAACCTGCCATTGATTGCCAACCATGGAACCGACTTGATTTTATTTAACCCTTTTCGCGCTGTCCCTCTGTTTTTTTTTATTATTTTTTTTCTCTCCCACTCCAGTCCACTTGTTAAACTAGACCCTGCGTCATTGTACATCTGGACGTGATCGTCATCGTGGTCAGCCCTGTTGAGGGGAATTTATCCCTTTTTTTTTTTTTTTTTTTTTTCTTTTTTCTTTTTAAACGGGCACGGCTTTGAAAGGTCAACTCCAACTTCATGTACTGAACAGGGACCGAATGCCTGCCGTCCCGTCTATTCAGTCCACTATCCGATTCGGTTTCCCCGTTCTGAAACTAGAACACAGTGCTCTGACGAGGACGACTGTTTTTCTACTCCCATACTTGATTCTCAGAGCGACATTCGTTTCTGGTTCCTTGATATCTTAGTTCCTCACTCTCATTCGCCCAGAAACGAAGCGGTGATCGCGGTTGTGGCAAACCACTGGGATATTCTCACGCCGTCGCTCTGACCTCTTCGATTGCGCAGTCTTTCGTATAGCTCCTTGACTACCCTCCTAGCCTGGGCTGCCTTCACATGATTTTGTGGAGAATTTTCCATTCTTCGTGATCGTTGACGGATTACTTATTGGTCTGCCCCGTCGAGTACAGCGTCGCTGACCGCCTATCGCCGTCAACGCTGTGCATAAATCACTCTATCCTAAGCGCAGCTTGCCAGTGGTTTGCATTGGTAGACGTCTGTGTGCCCGACGCCTTGCGATCGTGTTCACCTCGGACACAACTCCTACTGGCGTAATCCACTCGACCTACTTTGCTTCGTTTGCACGGTGCATGCGACTCATCGCCTGCTGGCCGAGGTGATTTCCTGGAACAATATCAAAGTCTCCGGTGAAGTTGTCTCGGCAGACGTGATCTGATTGGCAAACCCAGTCGCCTCAGGCTCCCAAGGCAAACGCCACGCCTGCTGATACGACAAGAACCCTGCACCACGCTGAAAGACTACTAGATCGCAGACTCTCCACTAAACGTTATCGGCTGGGCATTGTCTTCTGGTGAATCTCCACTGTTTCTCCCTGTCCCAACCTAGCCAACCCGCTCCGCAAAGGTAGTACAGCGGCATTGAGAGGTCATATAAAACTGCCCTGGGAATTGTATCCTCTTTTGTCCGCACTGGATTGGGCCCCAAAATCATACAGGCCAATATAAGAACAAAGAAGCCGAGGCAAGACGCCCAAAAAAAATAATATAACATTCGGTAGCCATCCTGTTTTATTCTAGGCTTACTGCTGTGTTGGGCTATTTTACAATCTCTTAGGAGGCTCTATCGTCCGTGTGAGATCATCGCATCGGTGTACTTAGAATCTCCTTTTGCTTTTTCCATCGCCCCTATATCCCTCCCCCCCCTGCTAGCTCCTGAAACTATTTAGTCGCAGCGCACCTAAAACTGCAAGGGATTGACACCTGACGGCATCGTTAGCTCTTTCCCACGCTCAACACCATATTACTGGGGTTGTAGGTGTATGAAGCAATTCGCTGTGGCCATGCTTCTTCCGCACAAAATATTCCTAGTTCACTACCTCACAGCTTAACGGATGACCAAGCCCAATCTATTAGAGCTCCCAATAGGGGCTCAGCTCGTCTATCTGGCCGAGGGCGGTGCCAACGTGATCTATCGCATCGTCTCGCCGAAGTCGGCTATTGCGTCGAAGAAAGAGTTGCCGCTGGCGGTTAATGGTTCTGGGCCTGGCGTGGTAGACTCCTGTAGCGGCCCACCCGAGTTTAGAGGCAAGTTGCTTCGATTGCGCAAGGACACCCCGTCCGGGATCCCTTACCAGGAGATTTCTCGAAACTTCGACAAGAATATTCGCCCTCTCTTCAAGCCGGAGGAGCTGGTGGATCAGGAGCTGGTATGCCTCCCACGAGGACTGATCCAGCATTGCAATGATCAACTGCGTGTCGCCGAGATGGACGGCAAGCGCCCCAAACGACGTCAAGGCGTATACCTGGCCACGGCCGAGCCGTTCGGACTTCTGATTACCGACATGACCACCTTCAACGACACGGGAATGGTTCTGGCCGAATTGAAACCGAAGTGGCTTCTGCAGTCACCATCGGCGCCGGCTACTGCCCGCAGATGTCGCACGTGCGCAATGCGTGATATGAAGAACCACGAGGCGTGGACGCGGGGCGGGAAACCCGAGCGATCGTTTTGCCCGCTCGACTTGGTCTCGGACAAGTTCGAAAACGTCCTGCGGGCCACTCGGTCGGTCAAGGGCTGTAAAGACCCGAAGCAGCTGGCGAAAGTGCTGTATTGGAACGGGACAATGCAGAAGCTCCTCGCTCACCAAAGAGCACATCGCGATGTTGGGCTCCACGGCCCGGCGGCGCAGTCTCGGGACAAGTCACTCGCAATGACCCTCCGAGACTGCACGATGTTCATCAAGGTACGTCATTCCTGCTATCTGCGAGAGTCCTCTAACATGGACAGATGCCACGCGACGACGTGGGGACTGTTGAGATCCGTCTTGGTGATCTAGATCTGAAGACTGGAGCCGGTGGCAAAGCGAAATACTGGCTGGACGTGGAGAAACAGCTGATCTCCGAGGGCTGGTACTTGGGGTCGAAAAGCTGTTCGCACGTGAGCGATTGTGTATTGCAAGGATCTCGAGGTCATTCGCAGCCGTCTATCTAGCAGTCCGATTCTATTCTAACTACGTTTCAAGGCCTTCAATCATTCTAATCGCGACAGACCCTTGAGTCGGGTGTTGAGCCACGAAGATCGCATGGACTGCAACTCTATTTTTTAATAACCTGCAAGTTACATCCATATATGCATTTGGGAGGTATTCGTCTTTTAGTTTTCAGTCTGCATGGGTTGTGTATATTAGGTGCTGTTTTAATTTTATATCTAGGTAATACACCAGTTTAGTGAAATCTAAGCTTTGATCTGCGCAACTAGGGTGTGTAATGGCGTTCGATTCATACACCATGACTTGATTGCCAATGAACTAGATGCCCTCTTCTAAGTCCTTCTCCCAGGATGGTTATTTTCTCACGAGTGAACCGCCAACTTAGCAGGCTAATCCGCCATGGCACATACGTGCCAGGGTTAATCAACATCGAACGAAAGCCCTGAGGCTGTAACTGTTATCTTCCATCTCAGGCACTCATGTCTTTCTTTCCAAGTACCATACGCATAGATAGACTCAACGGTATCCCTCAGAAGAACATAATTCAACATGATCACTACCACCAAACATAGCCCCTCTATAACCACCGTTTAAAACACTATATACTGAGCTTCGCTCACCATGGCACACGAGAGATCCACAGACAAGAAAAGAAGAATACAGTAACTTGACTTCATAAGCCTACCACACCGCAGTGCACATAAACCCAAACCGAGGATGAATACAAAATCAATCAATAGATCTAAACCCAGTACCTAAACCCCATAAACGCACCTACAACATCCAGTAACCACACCAAACCACCCTGACCATCCAACAACCCAATAACAACATCACAGAAACACACTTCCTTCACTCAAAAACCAAGAATCAAGAATCACCAACCCAGAGATTTATAATCTCCTACCTACCCACCGACTCCAACCAGGAACCACCCCCCTGCTCTAGTCCCGATAAAGACCGACGTGCCCAGCCAAAAGCCGTGCAACCGGGATACAGAAGCTTGTTGATTTTAATCTGGCTTCGTGCGACGTGTGTGCGTCGGGAGTGGAATACTTGGGGGTTGCTTGGAAAGCTTGTGCCTTTGTTCTTGGTGCAGTTTTTACAGTGCAATCGGTTGTGTTTGGATGATGGATGGTTTTGATTATCTGGTTAGTTGGGGTCGAACTGGTTCTGTGGCTGGGTTCTTGATATTATTGTAGGCTGCGCTTCGTTAGAGATGAGGGTATCTAATCGCTGGATTGTATAATTCTATTTCTGCCCAGGTATACATAGATATCATTTACCATCCATTGCCACATCCAACCCCCCGGGATATACAAACATAGTTATCTAGTAAGAAATCTAGACCTGGTAGTGGGATATCCAACTATGTACTACAACATGTAAGACGCAGAATATGTATCCAAGATTAGATCAAGATTAGATTAGATAGTTCGCGAGACAGATAGGGCATAGATTAAATCCTATAACTGAAACTATGTTTCAGAATGATTAACCATCGAACCCCATATACGTATCAGGAGTCTACACCCCAAAGAATACAATAAAACGGTTCCAAGTCTAGAACCTCCACTCTAGCCTGATTTAAACTGTACCCTTGCCTAACTGGCATTGGCTTACTCTTACTCCGCAGTACTTACTACTTATCAAGAGATAGTATACATATATGTATACAGACAGACATTATACATGATACAACGCTACACAGAGACGCAGAGACAACATACAAAGATACAAATATAAACCTCAAGCACAGACCCAGCCACCTACACACAAACACAAACACAAACACAAACACAAACACGCATGCACATATGCATACATGCATATGTATACACCCCTAAACTATAACCAACGTATATAACAGTCCAACCAACCACCACAAACAATTACCACCCATCCCTATAACAGAGGCTAGAAAGAGAAGAAAAAAAATACTACAAGAAAAGGAGAAATCTACCGTCTCCGCCCCGCACCCGCCATAGGCGCTGACGGAAAATTATACTCCTCGCTCCAACTATCCTTCGCTGGTAAGTACAGCGCACAGTCCTTGAAGAGGTTTCGTATTGAGTGGAGGAGGTTGGAGAGGTGGGTTTTTAGGGACATTTTTCCTTTCTTTTTTTCTTTTTTCTTTCCTTTTTCTTTGTTTGCTTTAATTTCCTTTTCTCCTTCTGCTTCTCTGCCTGGTGCGATATAGTTTTGTTTGGTTTAACCTGATTAATATAATCTGGCCTAATCTGGTATCTCCTCGAAATAACCCTACAGTATGTTATGTTAACAGACAATAAGCAAAACCAACTCCATCCATTCCACTGGGTATAAAGAAGCATGGATAAAAAGAAACATAGGTACGTACGTACCTCAGTTGAATAAATCGGGGTATACCTATACCGTCTCGAGGTTAGACCCTCTAAGTTCTAACATGCATCGCTATGGATACGGAGGTGATGTTGATGTTGTGTTACCTTAATACAGACCAAACCACCGCTTCACTACTAGTAGTATACTCCCAGCCTCCCCACTGATATCGATCGATTGACTGGTTGGACGAGTATGTATATTTCTTTGTTTCAGTGTGTGTTTTTCTTGGCTGTCATAAATGAATGAATGAATGAATGAATGTCTAGGCCTATTACTTAATGAATTAATTCTTCTCTTCCGACGTCTTGTCTTTCCTTCTTTCGAGGTTATGGTCCATGGATGGATAGATAGACTTACAATTCGGTATATATAAAATACTCAATCCACACTTCTCCCGTATCTCTCAGGTACCCGGGTTCGAAGCCTTCAGTCCGGTTTAGAAAAAAGTCAGAGAATTCCTTTGGTGGAGGAAGGTGACAGTGACCAGAGGTGCATGGCCGGTGACGTGTCGGTGAAGTCAGGACGGATTGGAATTGGATTAAATTTACTGTGTACGACGGACGGTATTGAATTAAATCGCTGGAGGAAGTAAGTTCGGGCCGGACCGAGATCGGGGAAATGGAAGAGTTTGGCTTGAACTTGACTGTACGGTGTGTCGTGTGTCGTATACTCAATAGTACGAACTGCTATCATCCGTGGTTCAGCACCTGGTGTAACCTGCAACCAGAAGATACGAACTGTCAGATTGTCAAGGAGTACTTCTACCACTGGCCAGGCACTCTTGGCTGTCTTTAACTTTGTGCCAAGTAATCAACTCGCAAGCTGCTGATCTCAGATTCCACGGAGGAACTCTACCATAGACCAGGGGGGTCCAATCCAAAGGGTTCAATAATATAGCTTCCATTGTCAAGGCTAGTCCGAAAGCAATAAGAAAACACCGCTATCCTGCTATAACGCTATACCAGCAAAAGAAAAAGAACACGGAAATCCAAACGTCATCCCATCTCATATGTCAAGCCCTAGCGACCCTGGCGGTACCACTGCGCTTCGGCCTCACCCAAGCATTCGCCGACAGTAGTCACTGTGTCCGTTAGCTTTCTGGCCTGCTATAGAGAGGAAAAAGAAAGGGAAGACATACTCCTGAACCCCCTCGCCTTGATCTCTTCCAACATGCGCCGAGCGAGATTCACCACCGTCTGCTCATGGATATCGTGGGCCAGCACAATGGTGCCACCGGCATTCAACTCATTAACGAATTTCTCGTAGCTGCGGTCGATCCGCGTGGGATCATTATTCTCGTAATCCTTAGTATCGATACTAGATTGGACAACCTTGTAGCCCAATTCGCTCATAACTGCAAGGACCTGCTCATTGACCTCAAAATACGGCGGCCGCATGTAGGTAGGAATATCACCCATAGCCGACTGCAGAATACCCTCGAGCTGCGTCATCTGTTGCACGATCTGCTCATAGCTCAGGGATGGGAGGCTGGCATGGTCCAATCTGCAGGGGTCAGTTCTCTTCGGAACAAGAGCCCGGGCGCGCCAGTGGGGGTACGTACGTGTGTGATCCGACCTGGTGGCCTTCGCGCCTCATGCGCCGGATGGTATCGGGGTATGCCTGGCTGCCCTCACCGATCATGAAGAAGGTGGCCTTGGCGCCGTACTCGCTCAGCAGGTCGAGCAGCTGCGGGGTGTAGCCGGATGGGCCGTCGTCGAAGGTCAGGGCAACGGTGTTCGGCGTGGTGCAGCTCCTGATGATCTCGCCGGTAGGGACGGTGGCGATGACCTTATCCAGAGGTGCGGACAGGACATAGGGGGTAAGAGTCATAAGAAGAGAAAGAGCGAAGAATTTATACATCTTGTATATATGTGCGGAAGACTGACGGGGTATAAATGGGGCGTATAGTGAGAGTGATTACTGCAATTTCCGGGAATAATGGCGCAAGATGGACAGCAAAGGCAAGAGAGAGAGAGAGAGAGAGAGAGATATATACGAAGCGAAGGCAAGTGATTATTGTGCAAGAAGAGGCAGGAAAGCAGTCAGTCGATGCTGCTTAAATAGTCTAGTTCATCTGGGACCGAGCAAAGACTCATGATATGCGTCAAAAAATAACAGCTGTGAATATCCTGGTCGCGCTCTAGACGAGGTTACACATTTTCATGAAAAGAACCAGCTCGCAGAAGCAAATATTCGGTATATCCCAGTCCTTATGTCTCCAGCGGGGAGTCGACCTGATATAGTGGGAGCATTGACTTCACATGATACCTGTCGATGCACCAAACAACCAGCTCATTGGCCAGGACTCGGAAATTGAGCTTTCATATCGATCGACAGCTGTAGGCGGTGATAATCTTCCGGTCCGTATATTTATTCTACATGCAAGGAGAACCGAGTGGCTGGAGCAGCCAGAACGAGTCATCCGGCCCTTGTTTATATAACCCTGATATAACCCTATCATATATCCCTGTCGTTAGATACTCGCTTTGACACGACCACCAATTTCGAATAACCCATTGGCTACGAGTGCACACGTATTTATAAAAACTAAGAAAGAAAGAAAGAACGTAGTCAGCGACTCTCAAGCCAACCAAGGACAGGTTTGCGAAGCAGTTCGTGTGCTGGCCGTCAGACAGGTGCATGGGGTGCATCGCCGAAGTAAGACAGCACGCTATTGAACCCAACGTGGAAGGGGCTTATCTCCATGGCAGCCAGCGCCTCAATGGTACCTGAATATTATTCCTAGACACCCGGGTCAGCAGGGGTACGTCGCAAGGAGGGTATATGAGGTAAAACCATTGCCTGCGGGCGAAGACACCACCTGATCGACGAACAAAGGGATCCCCAGTTACGTGGAGAACCAGACTGTCAGGACCGACGTCCAGGTGGCGTCTTACAAGCAATATCCCTTTTCACTCAGGCCTCATCCCTGTGCGCCAATGGGAATGGTTGGGCATCAACTGGTAGACGGAGAACTCGGAATATGGTATCGGTCCAAGGTTATATATCATCACAATAAAGCTATTAACGTCCAATTTCCTTCATCGCTCAGCACCTCATAAGAATTAAGTACGAATACATGGTACACGAAGTTATGAAACTATAGCAACAGAGATCCAACCGATCACTTTTTCTCCAATTGTTCCATCTCCTTTCCGATCTCCCGCTGTGGGAGATTACCCTCTCTTGGTATACCTCTTCATGGAGCGCTTCTGGCCCCGCTCCCGCTCCCGCTCAAGGAACTTCCGCTGCTCCTCAGCGTTCATACCACGCAGAATGCGCTCCCGCTCCTCCTTCTTGATCTTTTCTGCTGCCAGCTTGCGTTCCTCGGCCTTCTCCTCCTCGTCCGCACGACGGAGCTTCTTGATCTCCTCCTCACGCGCGTGGCGGACCTTACGCATCACCTCGGCGCGGAAGTGAGCCACGGCGACGAGTCTGTCGGCGAAACGAAGGAATTGGTTGAATAGCGGAGTGGAAGAAGCGTAGCCAGAAGCGGATGAGGGAAGGGACAAGCAGATATGAACACGTTTGCGAGGGACAGTCTCCTCGATCCTATTGCAAGAGGTCAGATAAATCGCAAGGATTTTCGTTCGAGCAACTCACTTCAAAGGCTTATCGACAGGCTGATCAGTGACAATAAGATACTTGAAATCATCGCCGGCCTTCTCAATGGCCTGGATCAATTCCGGGGTAAGCAGCGTTTCGGTAATCTCGGCACTTTCCGTCATGACGGTCACCCAAGGTGGGAGCTTCGCGTTCTCCTTGGTGAAAGTCATAGAAGCATCGTAGCGGTCCTGACGGAATTGACGCATGTAGTTCTTGTGCACAATGGACCAGATGAATCCATCGTAGGCCGAGTTGTTCACCTTGAGAGAAGAGGTATCCTTAGCCGGGACCGGAACGACGTCCTTCTCCTTGCCATCGAAAGTGTACGCAATGGCCTCGTAGGTCTCGGTGGGGCTAGTCCAGCTCTCGAACAAGAAACCAAAAACAACGTCCATCCAGTACGTGATCGGGTTGTAGCGCTTAGGCAACTTGATGGTGACGTCAACAAAGGCCACGTTCTGGCGGCCAGTAGCGTAGGAGACGAATTCCTGGGGACTCCTCTCCTTCAGGATCGAATCGGGGGAGGACAACACCGCGGCAGCCTCATCCTCGGACTTTTGGATGCCATCGAAACCGACGACCGCAAACTCATTCTGGAGAGAGGGCGCATGAGCTTGGGCCCATTCCCGAGCCTTGCGACGGTTCTTCCGCGTGCCCCAGAGGTGAAAGACTACAATGAGCAGGATGAATGGCATCACCATGGCCTCCTGGAGGAAGTCTTTGGGGGACGTCCGCTCCCAGACTCGGTACCATTTCGTATACGGAACGGCGCTGACCCCCGGGGTACTCGACGCAGGAACACCGGAGGACACAGCTGCTATGATCGAGGCCGGAGACGGCTCTGGTGCTTTCACAAAGTCCGCAAAGTCTGATTGGCATGACGACAACGGTCAGTCAACGGTCCAGCCCCAATAGGGGCAATCACTACCCCAACCCAATTCGATTACATCAAGACTTACCATCCTCAACCTTTGCTGACCCCGACGGCTGGGAGCCGCCAAACATGTTCTTGAACATGCCCGCCATGATGTGGAAGGGAGAAGGGTGGGCACGGGCGGGTTCGGGGCTGTCAAGAAGATGGCGACGTGGCGGAGAAGGAGGCAGAAAGGGAACGGGAAGGTGGTCGGCTCGAATTGACGTTCGTCGCAAAAGCGATCGGAGCGAAGTTCACTTAGTCTGTGGAGCCGGAACTCTGGGCATTTTTGACATTAAATAACTGCCAACCTGAGAGATAAGGCCAACGCCGCCCCAATCCAGTCTAGTCTACTTTACGGATCAGGTAATGAGCTCAATCACTGAATCTTCGGGCGCAAATTCGCATTCAACCAAACTGCCAAGTCAATGGAAACATTCTGTGCAGACGCAGTATACTCAAAGCAAAGAGAATCAATATGCAAAAAAAAAGCCAATAACTCTTTTGATCCACTTCCCAATCCATACCCAGATCCAGTCCAAACCCACATATAGAATACAATATAGAAAGAGCGAAGTGGTATCCTGCAGACAAGCAGATAGGTTGTAACTCTCACAAGAAATAACAGAAACGCCAGCACTTTTGGTACAAACAAACTATCTAAACTCGCTCCAAAGAGGGGAAAACAGGAATAATATATAACAACACAAAAAGTACAAGTCAGGCTGCCAAATTAAAAGTTATGTCGTATCAGTCATTAATATCACCAGACTCGCTGGGGAACAAAGGAAAGTGGAATGAATGTGAAGTGCTCTTGGATGGAATCAACAAGCGTTTTCAGCGTACATGATTCATTGACCATAAGCTGGCGGGGGATATTCTTCATGGTCAGGACGGCTCCAGAAGGCACCACCGCAAGAGCTAGTGGGCATCAATTTCTCGTCCCGCATGCGACGAGCAATTTCTCCTGCTAGTCGCTCGACCAGGGCTTGATCGACGGTACTGGAGCTGGACTTCTCGTCGGTGAATGGGAGGATAGTCGAGGGCAGCTGGCGTGTGGGACCGGTCTCCTGTTTCTCATTGTCACGTCGGGCGGCAACGTGAGCGCGGATACTGCCTCGGGGAGTTGCATCCACATCTCCAGGTTCAGGGCGGTGCCGTAGAGGCTCCGCAGAGGGCCCCCCAGTTTCGCGGAGCATTTCTGTGGCGATATCGCGACGAGGTACTGGCCGTGAGAGACTGGCGCGACGCCGCTCGGGAATTGCAGGAAGACGGAAATCGCTTTCCGGAGACAAGGGTGGCGTGATGGGGTCAGGTTGTTCGTTGACCACGGGCAGGGGTGCCGAGCATACGGATGGGTTGCTAGCTGTCTCTGTATATGCACTTTCGTCGCTCACACTCGCCGTATCACTCGTAGTCTTCGGCCGTCGTAGATCCACCACGCGCTTCTTGCGTTTCCTTGAATGTGCTTTCGAATGGCGACCGGCTCCCAAATTCAAACCATAGCCACTAAAAGTATGTGTCGAAGCTGAAGATCGACTCTGGGATGACACGATGCTGGCGCTATCCTGGAAGGACGCCATGCTGCCAACCTGGGAATGGGTCCTGGAGAGCATGGGGCTTAGCGGAGACGTAGCATTGCCATTCATATCACCCTGTTCAGAAGGCGAAGTCCACGCCCGGTAAACAACTTCCTGGATGGAGGGAGTGAAAAGAGATAGCGTTCGCTGAGAATCCGTAAGTGCAGCCAGCCGGAGGAGGTTCTTCTGTGAGAACAGGGAATGTGCTTCGACGGAGGAATCCAGGGAGAGCGATGCGATTTCCGATTCATCCAAGGCGTTGCCCAATGAATCTACTGGGTCCTGAGGAGGGCTTGCGAGAGGGTCTTGACCAGGACCTTCACCCGCCGTCTGGTCCGCCTGAGTTTCTATATCTTCACCTGCCCGGTACTCAGGAACCCACAGTCGCAGGGATAGTCGATGAATGATGGCGGGCAGTTCGTCCATGAACAAGATGCGCAGCTGAGCCTCTATTTCCCTCTGCAAGAAGTCACGGACGAACGGGATCGAATCGAACGTAGACGAAACTTTAAGCGATTCAAGCGGATCATTTCGGAAAACCACGGTAATTCCTTTCTGTTTCGAGAAGACGAGTATCACAAAGCCGGACAACTTGAAATCGGATAGTGTAATTTGGAGGGGAATTGTGAGGGGAGTTCTGCAGTATCAGGCACGACTGGTGAGCGACATCGGCCAACGAGTGCGACAGAAGCATTACTTACGCTGCAGCCAAGGGTAGTGGCGAGGCAAACGAGGGTCGTGTGAGAAGGTAGGTGTTGAGAGGGTTCGCCTGAACGCGCGTTTTCAGAGTCAAGAAGGCATCGCCAGTGTAGGACATCTTGAAGATGCCCCGAAATCGATCCTCCGCCAAGTCACCAATCTCTAATATCTCCAGATCGGGCGGGATGGAACCTAAGTTGAGCTCGGTTACGATGATATCGTCGACGATGATCGGAGGCTTCGGCGATTTATTCAAAGCGGCAGTTAAAAGATCTTGAGCGCGAGTATAGAAACTTGCGTCCGCCATCAGCGGCGACCAGTTGAAGTTGAACGCCATATCCGATCATTGAGAACGGATGGGTTGACTCAAGAAGACCCACGGCGTCCAAAGGGTAAAGAAAAAAAAAATACAAGGGAAATTACAAAGTAGTCGATAACATGGGGGAAAAGGGGAGAGAGGGAGAGAAGAGGAGGCGAGGTCGGAGAGGAGTGGTGGAGAGGGGAGCAGGTGTTAGCGATGATAAGCCGGAAGTGAAGGGAAAAAGCGAAGAAAAAAAGGGCTGGATTGGATGAAAAGCTCAAGAGATTCCCGAGGGTCTCCCACAGGGTATGGACTCGCGTGATCTACGCGACGCACGAGCACTCTTGGACGGTTTTGATTCTCGGTGGTTTCGTTTTAGTCGGGAGTACATTTTATAAAATCATTTTCATTCCATTGTTTTTACTTCATGTTACGAGATTAAACCCCTCATAGATGTTATTCTAGAAAAGTTCAAGTTCTTAGTGTTCTTCAAAGGCGGAACGGAAGAGGAAAAAAAAAAAAGGTCCAAGGGGAAATTGTGGAAATTTCCAAAAATACGTCACAGCACATCTGACCTCATTTTAGGCCTGGAACCAACGATTGAAGGAATATGACAAGTTCACAGCCAGATAATATACTTTCTCTGCTTTCCGATTCCCTCCGACCGTAATTTATGAACCATTGCAAGCGTTATCCATACAGACAATACTTCTTCAATACATGCATGCTACCAGCACCATACCGCCCGCATGATCTTCATTAGCTCCAGCTCCTCAGTAATGCTCCCATCTCGTTCCTTCCGCCCATCGGCATTTACATCTCTTCTCACTGGACCTTCCCGTCAGCCACTACATTTCTGTTTACTGACCCCGGCATCTAACGGGCCAGAAACAGCATCATCCATGTCGATCCGTTTGAAGGTTGCCTCCTGAATATGACATGACTCAGAACATCTGCAATTTGAATGATCGTCAACTATTCCTCTTTGGCACATGGTATATCATGGTCAACATATTAATCTACGTAGTACCAACTGGAAACTTACCCCGTGGGTACATTGGCAATATCGACGGCAAAACCAGCCACCTCAATGATCATACCGGAATTCAGGTCTAGATTGTCACAGACTTCGAAAAATAGTAATCGCTGTTATTGGTCTTCATGATACTCTGTGTACTCTATCACAATAAAAAACATTACAAGCTGAATAAAACAAAATTCTAGATACTCAAACATACATGAACACAAGGTATTCGGCAGATGCAAGATCAGCTTGCAACCATCCGACTACTAGTATGCTTGCCTCTCACTCTGCAGAATGCTGCGACGCAAAGAATCCCTCTCCCCGCTCTTGTCGACTAGGGTCCAGAACGGGCCCCCTTCATTTCTCAGTAAAGCAACCGGTGTATCAAACTCGGCTATCCTCCCTTCTCCCAAGACCATGATCCGGTCAAAGTCCACCACAGTGGACAGCCGGTGGGCAATGACCATGAGAGTAGAGTCACGGAATTCTTGACGAATAGTCTGCTGGATCAGCGCATCCGTGCTCATGTCAATGGAAGAAGTCGCCTCGTCCATTATGAGGATCTTCGGGCGGGAGAGCAAAGCCTGAGCTAGACACACTAGTTGACGTTGGCCCTGTGACAGATTCTTGCCTCGCTCGGAGATTGGCGAGGAAAGAGATAAGGCAGTGTTATTACAATCTTCGGCTGTTCCTTCTAGCTCTGAGCTCTGTTCATCGTCTGTAGAGGGCCTGAGATGGACTTTTGCTAAAACGGCGCGGAGCTCAGAGTCTGTATACTGGTCAAACGGGTCGAGGACCGATCGCAGGGTTCCTGAGAAGATAACCGGATCCTGTGGGATAATTGCTATCTTCGAGCGGAGAGCGCGGAGTCTTAGCTGAGAAATATCCATTCCATCAATGTGTAAAGATCCGGACCGTGCCTCGAGGAAGCGCAGAAGTGCGAGAGTCAGTGACGATTTGCCAGAACCAGTACGTCCTACGATGCCGATGTGCTCGTTAGAGTTTATTAAGAAGCTCAACCCCCGTAGAACCGGTGGCGAGTCTCGTGCGTATCCAACGACAAGATCGTTCGCCTCAATCTCGCCCTTTGTAGGCCATCCAGCTGGAGCATCCATGCCACCTTGGTGCTCTGTCTCGATTTGAGTGTATTCTACAATGCGCTCAACGGCATTGAAGTCCAGCTCGAGCTCAGCGTATTCCGACAATACCCAAGCGACGACCTCAGACATCTGTAAAGCGAAACTGAGAGCAAACCCTGCCACGGACGCATCAACGCCTTTAAGGGTTGCGATCAGTGCTGCTGTCATAGTTACATACTAGATCGAGAAATGTATGTTAGTACTCAACTTATACGGTGCAAGCAAAATTTTGGGGCAAACTAACCAAAGCTCCGATCATGTTCAGACGGAACATCATCCAACAGTTGAAGAGACGCAGATGCCAGAGAGCCTGGCAATGGGCGTCAATCATGTTATACATGCGGTGCATATATTGACCAACTTTGTCGAAAGCTCTGATCGTGACTAGACCGTCAATGATCGAACCGAACTGCTCGAAGATAGGAGACCTGGCATTGCTCTCTATCCTTTTAGCATCTCTAGCCGCTGTGACATACAGCGAGGCGATATACCAAGACAGAAAGAGCGAGATGAATCCAAAGCCCACCATAAGTGGCGAGATAAAAAGTGCCGCGATAATAACACTAAGGAGCATTAAAACGCCATGCAGCATATTGGGCAGGTCCAGTGCCAGATCAGAATCCAGCGTGCTGAAGTCGGCACTGAAGCGGTTGAGGATCTGACCCACGGGCGTTGTGTCCAGAAAGCTTAGAGGGGCGTGTAAAACTCTGAGCAAAAACTTCTCGAAGATAGCAAGCGACCCTCGAATTGATGCCATAAAGACGAGCTGATAGCGAAGAATCTCCGTTAGGATTGACATGAGGAAAAGACCAACGTACACGCCTAGGTAAAGCCAGAGACGGTTACCAGCGGACTGTCGATCTGAATGCGCGGATAGGTCGTCAGAGACCGATTGAATGTTCACTTGGATATCAGGCTGCGTGTTTGCAAGATCTCTCGTCCAAACTGACACCCAATATGGGATTGCTAATTCTGCCACAAGAGTAAAGCCGAAGCTCAGCGCAATTGGAATCCAATACAGGTAGCCACCGCAAGCCTGCATGTATATACTATAAATTGACAGCTTCACAGCACCTGTCGCCCGTGTCTCGGTTTCGTAAAAAGCCTTGCCTTTGATATCCCTCTCAGATGGATCCTGCTGCGACACAGTCAGGCCATTAGATACAGGGAGTATTGTATGGCCCTGCTGCGCAGCAGAGTCAGCAGTATTGACGCGTTGGATAGAGTCGGCGTTACTGGAACATAAGTCTGGGCAGTAATTCTCAGGCTTGCCAGCAAAAGAAACACGCCCATTCTCGAGTACTACGTAATACTTCATCTCACTCCAACACAGACCGGTATGATGCGTGGCCACGATTCTCGTTCTCCCTTTTGTTAAGCCTCCTGTTAACGCTTTCTCGAAGAGATGGTGGCCAACGCGAGCATCCACCGCGCTGAAAATATCGTCGAGGACAAGGACTCCAGCATGGCTGTAAAGAGCTCTGGCTAGAGCAACACGCCATTTTTGACCGCCGCTTAGGTTGACACCGTTAGCACCAAGATCAGTTTGGTCACCATCTTGCATAGAATCCAAGTCATCTTCAAGACAGCATGCGCGCAGAACATCGCGGTATCGTTCCGGATTCAGCGGGAGGCCGAAAAGAATGTTTTCTCGAACGGTTCCATTCTCGATCCAAGGGTTCTGCGGAACAAACGCAATTGATTTATCGATCGTCCACTCATTGCTCGGTCCATCATAGGCAGGTAGTGAGTGTCCCTGTGGAAAGACGATCTGGCCTTCAAGCAGATCTGCCTCGCCGATCGTCGCTAACAGCAGTAAGCTCTTTCCAGCACCTGCTGGTCCAGAGATCACGGCCAGCTCTCCAAGAGGGAATTGCAAATCGATATCGCGCAACTTGAAACCACTAGTTTCCTCGTCCACGGTGTTGGAAGGCCAGGATATTGTTGCCCGCGAAAAGGCAATTGCCTCCCCATCTCTGTGGCAGTTATTGTGTTCCGGTAAATCAAGGTATTGCTCGATGCGTCGCGCGCTCACCTTGGCATTCATTAAGTCACTGATTGTTTCTGGGAAGTTTGAAAGCGTGGCCGATAAGCTTTGAAAGATGGAGAGGGCCGTGAAGGCAACGGAGGGAGATAGAGTCCTGTTAGCCAAGAAATAGGTTGCTAGTGAAATCAAGCTCATGCAAAGGGGACCACAAGACCACACGGCAATCAGTGCGAGGTTGAACTGGAAAACCTGTCCTTGTCTCATGATCTCGTTGGAACGTAGAGTCTGCACCTTGCTGTTCCATTGATCTTCTTGGGCATCAAATTTAATCTGACGAATGCCCTGTAGCATCTCGGATAAGACAGCCATTCTTCGATCGCTTGCTGCCATGAGCGTATCCTCTGCTTTGCTGTATTTCTGGGCCAGAACATAATTCACCGGAATCAATATCGCTGGGACCGTGCAAGCCCACAGTACCGGCATCCAACCCAGAAGGTTTGTAAGAAAGGCGATAGCAAGAATGAATTGAATAATGGTATCTAGGAGGGTATGACTGAATTTTGCAAAAGTTGCAATTGTCCGAGCGTCTACCCCTAGAAGGTTGGCCATGGATTGTTTCGTCTTTGGTGGGCCATCCTCGCCGTCATCTTCATCATCACTACACTCGCTCGATGATGCTTTGCTCTCAGAGCAATCATGTGAGTTCACATTAACAACTTCCTTTATCCGAAGTGCCTTGCTGAAAATCGCTGCAGATAGCTGCTCTCGGATCGGCAATTCCAGCTCCATAGATACCACCCATTGTAGCAATGACTCCAGCCAAGATGATATGAAAAGGGATCCACCGAGGCCGACCGTCGTAATCCACAGTTGTTTTTGATTATCTGCGTGCGCGTCACGCTCTTCGAGCAAACGAAGGGTAAGGAACAACAAGGCTTGAGGCAGGAAATGTGCCACAGCAGTAAGCAGCTGGATGGCGACTTGAACAATCCAGGTTTTCCGGTAAATACTTAATAATTTCCTCCATAGCTTGGGGTGGGTGCAAGACAGCCAACGATCATACAAGGTTCGTGCACGCACCTCATAACCTATTGCAGGAAAGTCGTCGGGTTCGAGTTGTTTATTCCGCGCAGCTTTTGACAAAATCGGCACTGGCCACGAGAATGTGTATCTGCTGAGAAAGGAAACGGTACGTTGACGATCGACTGGCTTGCACCCTAAATATACGTCTGGTCGACGGGAAAATGAAATGTTGGTGAAGGATAATATGGTTCCCGCAGTGAATTTGACAGCAGCCAAGGATATACTCGACCCTGATGCATTCGGGTTGGCCCACAAGCCATCCAGAAAGACACCTGCGATGCTGAGCAGAAGAGCTGAAATGGTACTCCAGATCCCTAGCTCGTACCTCTCTTGAGGTAAGGTGCGAGATATGACGATACACTCTTGAACCAGCAGCAGGGCCTGGAAGTGTTAATATACAAATATGGACATGGTAGAGTGTTCATCGTACCCAAGCGGAGAATTGTAGCCATTGTTCGATCCCTCGTGGTGGGCTATTATGGCCTGTCGTATTCAGGAACGACAACAGTGCAGTCAGCACTGCAACAACTGCCGTGATGAATAGAATAACTCTCTGGGTAAGATCCAAGGTTGCTTTCTCGGACTTATCTGTTGCGATTCCATCTTCATCTTCATAGCCACTTACCAGGCCATACCCTTGTCTATCTGTAGTTGAAAGCTGTTTGAAGACGTGGTGAATATGTGGGATGGTCAGCACTAAGATGACGGCTGGGCACAAGACAGCCTCGAAGAAGGAGGCGTCGAGCCAATGGTCCATCATCGCAAATGTAACGGCAAGAAAGCGCTTTCCATTCCTTCACATGTGGAAAATCAACGGTGATAATAAATGTCGAGTGAGAATCCTGCTGCCTGATTCTGATGTTACGTGCAGGAGGATTCAAGGAGTCAAGATGAGTCTTCATGACTCAACAAGAGGCTCTATGTTGAATGCGAGCAAATTGGCTTCTTCAGGCCTCCAAGTCCGTGGCAATTATTCGATCAGAATTCAAAACCGTTAGCTGTTGACCTCCTTTACATGTAATAGCTGACGCTCATCCACCGGATGCAAGTAGCCGTAAGGTGGCAGTTAAGCTTGCGGGAAAGGATCCATCACAACACAACCAACTTAAGGAACTTCCTAAAGCGGTTCCCGACAGCCTTGCCTGGACATTCAGGGTCCACAGGCCAGACTTGAATCCTGCCAGGTCGATCTCTTGAGGCTGAAGTTTAATTTCTCGCAAAATAACGCCAAGAAAAGAAAACGAAATATGACATTAACGTATTTGGAATACAAACGTGTGGTTTGTATATGTCATACAGGTCCCTGAGCATGGTGTACCAGTGGTGAAATATATCGATCTATAGATGGTGTAGATCAGCATCCCTTTATATATACACGTCACTCGGGGTTTGGAGGGACACCGTATCACCGACAACTTAGGCTGGGGAGGATGTATAATTAATATGCGAAGGGGGGATTGCACACTAAATTCCGTTCGTTGACTCTGGAGAAGGACAAGTTGTATACCTCGAAATGCTCTCCGTCATTTCGGCGGCTGCCTCACTGGTGCCTTAACTGCCTGGAAGAACGGGGGTGTGATGTCAGCCAACGATGATTGGTTGGACTAATTGATCATTACATAATACTGTTCACCAGAGCAACTAGTACGCTAGTCCCTTTACGGAAAAGAATCAATAGGCCCTCCGTCAACCCCTAATGAAGCTGTTTTGACGATTGCCCTCTCAACTGGGGTTTGAAGAATAGAATCAACGTCTTAGGGCTGATTTTGACCTAACATACCGAAATGGCGTCGACTTTTTCGCCCGCCTTTACAGGCGACTGTACCCCCAAACCGAGAACCAAGACACGCACCGCTGCACCGAAACGAGTATACGGAAAGCGAAGAGCAGATGCCCCACGAGCTGTGTTCGAACAGCGAAGTCCAGCAAAACCGATAGAGGAGAAAACTTCGAAGATTGTTGATGAAGCTGTGGATCGCATTCAAGCTCGGCTGGCTGAGATTAAAATAAACGAAGCGACCCCATCTCAGAAAAAGGCAGACAAAACCGATAAGCCAAATATTCCCGTTGAGCAGACAGACCTTGCTCAAACTGCACCGCCAGTACATACACCTGAGGTCGTGTCAATTGAATCACAAAATGACGAACAGCCTACCGAGGAGATCCCTCCGGATAACGACCCTAAACCACGGAAGAAATACGAGACGATGGTGGAAGTTAGAATCTGCACAAGAACGGCAGCACCAAAAACAGAAGACGAACAAGAAATTCAAGAGCAGCATGAGGATCAAAAAGAACGGAAAGAGGATAAATGCAGCGCAGAAAGTGAGAGGCAGGGTGAGAGACGAGCAAGGAGGGACAAAGTCCCGTCTCGTTTGTCATCTGGGTGTGTGATGGATGATAAAGTGAATGCATACGTTCGTCGCATCTTAAACGAGGCTTTATCACCAGTTGCAGCACAGGGTGTCCAAAAATTTGGCTCCTGGGCCGCTCGTGCTGGAAATTTACTAGAGGTAGTGAAGATCGCAGAAGGTTCGTACGGAGAGGTCTATAAGCTCCGTCTGCGCGAAGAGATGTGCAAGAAAGAAATGTCTAGATCTAAGCTTGCTCGCCTAAAAGCGTATGGTGACAACGTGTTCAAGGTTGTACCCTTACGAGCTCAGAGTGGACCTGGCTCGAAAAAGTTTACCACCATCGAAGAAATCGTGTCCGAAGTTAAGATGCTTAAATATTTGGACCCGATTCCGGGATTTGCTCGTTTTCGGGAGATCCATGTGGTCCAAGGTCGATTCCCAGAGTCCTTCCAGAGTGCTTGGGACCACTACAAGAAGACCAAAGATGACTGCTTGAATCCCAATCCATCCAGCAAGAGGGCGTATCCTGACTCACAATTGTGGGCTATCGTGGAAATGGACGATGCTGGCTGTGAGCTTGAAAAGTTTGCTTGGTCATCAACCTTCCAGATTTACGATATATTTTGGGGAGTGGCAATGGCTCTCGCGCGTGCCGAGGAGTATGCGCTATTTGAGGTAGGCCCTATTCTAAGATGCCTTGGAGACTGGGCAGTATTGACACGTATCTAGCATCGAGATCTCCATCTCGGAAATGTTTGTATCAGAAGCACCCGGTCAGATGGCTCTATGAATCCTCCGACAGACCTCGAAGTAATGAGTCAATCACACTCAAGCGGATTTGGCTTGAGCACCCTAGAGACTACAATTATTGATTATTCACTTTCTCGCGCGGAACTACGCGTTGAGGAGTCAGGAGCTGTTGTCGAAGTAGCATCGTCGGATCTTGATAAGAAACAGATCTTCGATGCTATCGGACGTGATGAGGATGAGGCCATGCTGAGAGACACTTACAGATAGTGAGTATCATCCTATAAATTCCAGGCTTCGGAAAATACCCGCTAATACCCAACAGTATGCGTGCTCAGCTCTACAACGGGAACCCTCTTGAGACAGAGAAGACGCCCGATATCCCCGGCATCTGGGCTGATTATGCGCCACGTACTAACCTCGTCTGGCTTCTCTTTCTGCTTAAGTCTTTGCTCAAGAACAGGAAGCCGGAGGTTTCGCTTCCAGCACCACGACAGCCCCTCGCCCCATGCTCGTCTAATAAGGGACTCAAGAGACAAACAGACAAATCGACAAAAAAGGACAAAATCATTACAGCCAAGAGTGCAGAAGATACACAGAAGCACGTTTCTCAGCTGAAATCCACACTTGAGGATAGACTACGTGCCGTCCAGGACCTTCTGCATCTTGAGCGCGGACATGAGGACATGTGCTGTGCTGCCGACTTGGTAGCCTATGCAATTGACTCTCAGTGGCTGGATGAGAAGGACTTTTTCTGACTTTGATCTGTGCATAATGGAGGTGTCAAGCGATTCATCTTTCACTTTTGGCGCGACTGGGGCCATATATAGACGGCTTAGCATGGCGTTTTCTGGGAATATTGATCTTTACAATACCAATAGCATTGCTTTTACGAGGAACATCAAACATAGCCTGATTTCGAGTGCTCCTTGTCAAAATATGACGAAGTTCAAGCATTATACATCCCCCTCAGAAACGCTCTAATACTGAATGAAGTATGCATGACACCTCATCGGAACAGAGAGCCACCCCAAACCCACGGTACCATCACCGGCCTCCAACCCCCCAACAGAACACCCCCATACATACCGATAAACATAACACCAACAACGATGACCTCCAAATTCGAAAAGCTATTGATAAAACTGGGCAAACCCACCTGGGCCCAACACCTCCGTCATGTCCAGCACGCGCACGGCCCCCAGAAAAACCAAATCGACCCAGACTGGGCCAAAGACATAATCAAGATGGATTCTCACCTACGCGAAATCGGGCAGCGTGAGATCTACCTCCGCGAGGAGATCAAAGCCCTGACCTCCGACGACCGGGCACCGCTAAGCACCGAGCAACGCGCGCAGCTGGCCAAATGGCAAATGGAGCTCGAGGACCTGGCAAGGAAGTACTGGCATCTGGAGCGGGAGTTTTACCGGCGGGAGGCATCTGTTCCGCCTGGGCCGTTGCAGAGAGCGTATGTGACCTGGAGGAGCAATCCGGAATGGTATCTGCTGGGGTATTTGAGGGATGATTGTGCGGGGAGGGGAGGGTGTTGTGGGAGGAGTTGTGGGTGTTGTGAGAGGGAGAGGGATACGGAGAAGAGGATTCGGTTGGGGCACTGCACGGTGGAGTGCGGGTGTTGTCGGAGGGCGAGGGGGTTTGAATTGAATCATGAAGATCGGGTCAGGTATCAGAAGTTGTTTGATTCGGATTTGAAAGAGAATGAGGCGTTGTGGGATTCGTTGAAGTTGGCTTATGTTTTTGGCTTGGTTTTATAGTTAGGGCTTGGGTTGTTTTGTGTTGTATACTTCGGTGGGACGTAACAATCTGCGGCGCAGAATAATGCTGCTATGATTTGGAGCATTGCAGATGGGACATCATAGGACTGGCGTTAATCCTAGGATTTTGTGAATTGTTGTCATGAAACAGACACATCCTGTTCAAAAGCTTGAAGTAGTACCTTGCATCCTATGTAGAGCAATGAGTGTTCAGTCTCATTCAGGATTCACGCCTCCAGGCTCAGTTTTGCTTGTCCCTTGTCGTATTGTGATGGGGAAATGACTGCCTAAAACATGTTACAAGAGAAACGCAAGATATGATAATTGATTCTATTGTTGCAGTCAGATGCTGTCGAGTACATTCTATAATATCTATCTGTAGACTGCTAGATGTCATAGCCCATAACTTGGGTGAGTGAGGAAGCAGATGCAGGCATTCAAGATCACACACCAGAAAGAAAGAAGCTCAGCAGACTGCCAGCAGTTAAGCCTCCTACTAGCATCAAGCTCATAAATCCACCCGCTGACTCACGATCATCCTCAGGGACCCATTGACCAGCGCCCATCATGCAGCTGCTTCCAAGATAACCATTGCCAATGCCAAAAAGCAATTGCACAACGAATAAATAGAAGAAATCACTCTTCACGACGGCCTCCCGACCGCGTATGTTACATAGAAGATAAAGGGGAAGGAACCCAATGCGAGCAATTGCCAAGATGAACAGAGCAAAAGGCTGGTGGGTTAATGATAATTGGGGGATAAGGACTAATATCCTTCCAGCCAAGTCTCCTACATTCCAGAATAAGAACGCCAGCGGGATGAAAACAGCCGGTTGGAACAAACGGGAACTACCCTGAGGGTCCCGGACTGACTCAATCTTTGCCGTCAAGACAGGATAAATCATAGTGACAGCGAAACAGAGAAAAAGCGCAAGAGCCGTGAGGCGAAGCTTTTTGAAAAGGCCCCAGAGGCTGACGGACTTGCGATCTGTGTGGTCAGAAACAGCGTCAGATGAACTCTGCGCGAATTTGGACATGGTGTTCGACCGTCGCTTAGCAAGGGAACCGAAGGCAACCAGTGCCGATAGGGATACACAAGTGGAAGTTATGAAGTACAAGAATGCCGATTTGGACGACCCTTGTGGGATGTTCTGTTCCCCTGTTTGCTCTGGGACAGCCAAAACAGAGAGTATCTGCACGATGCATGGCAAGACACCTGCTAGGCCTTGGCCTGCCATAATAGCTTGAGTATATTCGGGCCTCCCAAAACCGGAGACATATGCAAAAACGCCGATCTGATTCATTCCGGTCGCGAAACTGGTCCCGAATACCATTAGCATCAGGAAGCTAAAATATAATCCAATGGAAGTATTTTTTAGAAGACCGGTAGATAATGCGAGCAATGTGAAGATCACGATATTGATCAGCAGCGAAACCGTGATCTGTTTAGGGTATGACGTCCGTTTCTGCAGCTTCGCGAGAGTGAACGATGAGCCCAAGTTTGTGACGGTCGACACAATGAGAATGGAGGACTGGTAATGGGCCACGGCCCACTCATCCGAGCTGAAGCGGTGATAGAAATACGGTGCAGCGGCGAGGAACATGTTCCTGTGGCACAATCTGGTCAGCATCGAGTATACTCCGGAATAACCATCTGAGCGCCGGAGAGCTGTTATCAGGTAAGACATACCATGCCCATAGCATGGAAACTCCAAGGAGGAAGAATACCCCATATTCAAACCTGGAGAAGCGTGGCGCTGGTGGTGTTTGGGAAGATATTAAGTGGCGATCCTCTTCGTCCTGCGGAGGTTGCTCGAGTGGCTCATATTCCGCCCCGGGAGAGATCCATCTCCGGACGCGATTCATTGCTTTCAATTATAGTGTGGTATTAAAATTCGGTTTCTGGAAGTAGAAACGGGACATAAAATGGGACCAATCAATCCATGATCAACCCTGGATATAAGGAGAAAGTCGGAGGGGAACTGGATCTACAACCACGGGGCGATAAGCAGGTCACCTGCCAAGCCGGATCGATAGACCGCTAAGTTGATCATTTGATGTATCATATGGATCAGTGACCATTTGCGGCTCTATCATGTGGATTCATCTTTTTGGCGGGTTTATAACTCAGTTCATTTTTGGAAGTAAGGGAATAAATGGTTTTATAGAAGAAGGTCCTTCTACCATTATTGTTATGAAAGATATCGCCTCTTTGTTGATAGTAAGTGGAGATGTGTATTACTTTTCTCTATCCCACTTCTCTAACTGTTCAATATATAGAAAGACGCATGTCCGATCGGTCCAAACCAGTAAACCAAAAGGTATGAATACATCCGCGATAGTCGATCATTCCAACCATCCAAGAGGCAAGTGTATAAGTAACCGGCTGAACATATAAAATGAATCTCTACAGTGAATAAGAAACGAACCCCAGAAGGAAATGGACAAGCTACCCTGGAACAAGGTAGTCTCCCTAGAATGGCAGTTATTCATTCTTCTGCTGCCCGCCTTGTCTGGCGACAGCTTCTTCAGCGCCAGCTTGCTGCTCTCCCTCCTGCATCTGCCACAATTTTTCTTGGGTCAAGGGACTGATAGGAGCGTCCGTCGGAGGCTGAGAGACATCGCCACCGCTCATTTGCCATTCCATCAACTTTGTGAAGGCACCGTCAGGGCGAGAGCTGAGCTCTTCGTATGAACCCTGTTCGGCTACCTTACCGTCGGGGCCGAGGACGATGATAGTGTCGGACCGCTTGATGGTAGAGAGGCGATGGGCAATGCTGATTGTCGTGTTGTTCCCGCGGAGCAAAGCAGCGAGAGCACTGTTCACTAAAGTCTCAGATTCTGCGTCAAGAGCAGAAGTCGCTTCATCAAGAATTAAGATATCAGGGTCTTTGATTAGGGCACGGGCAATAGCAATGCGTTGCTTCTGTCCACCAGAGAGTTGAGCTCCTCGAGGACCCACTTGAGTATCAAGGCCATCAGGCTATAGAAGGTCAGACACAATTGAAAAATAGATACTCTTGATCGATACTTACGAAGTCACTAATAAATTGGCAGTTCGCCTTCCTGGCAGCTGCGACAATCGCAGACCTTGTTGCCTGCGGGCTTCCGTATGAGATGTTCTCTGCGATAGAGCCCGAGAAAAGAACGGGCTCTTGAGACACAATGCCAATCTTTCTCCGAAGAGATTTAGCATTCATCTCACCGATATCCTTTCCATCGATCAGAACTCTACCCTTAGTGGGAAGATAGAATCGAAGCAAAATGGAAGCAATGGTAGATTTGCCTCCTCCCGAAGGTCCAACGATGGCAACATTGGTTCCCTGAGGAATCTCGAAGTTCAGGTCGGTGAAGATGGGAACAGCAGGCCGTGTTGGGTAGCTAAAAGATACATTCTCAAAGCGAATAGGGCCACGAGCAGAGACAACCTTTGTACCCTTGGTTGGAGATATCGTCGGCTTGCGGTCCTGCAACTCGAAAAGCCGGCTAGCTGCTCCAACGCCCTTCATGAGTTCGGAGTAGAAACTAGACAGACCAAACATGCTAGAACCTGCATAGGCTGTATACATCAGGAACGAGGTCAACTCTCCGATACTGATAGCACCAGACCGAACCATTCCTCCTCCTACATAAAGGAGTGCCAGGATCGTCATATTGCCCATAAAACCAGTCTGCGAATCGTTAGATCTCTGAAATATGTAGATCGGAGTGTAATATACATACGGAACTGAAGAAAGTCGCACTAATCACGGACTCTCTTTTGCCGAGGTCGAAGATCTTTCGCACTTGGTTGTTGTACCTGTTGACCTCAATAACTTCACCCGCAAAAGACTGACTCGTTTTCACATTGCCCAAACGCTCTTCGGCAATTTTTGTCAAGTCTCCTAGGTTCCTTTGGATCTTGCGACTCAAGTTGCGAATCGCCCTTCCATAGAAGAAAGCTCCAAGGCCAATGGGAGGAAGCAATAGAGCCAGGATGCTGGAGAGCTTAAGACTGACATATGCCATCAACCCGAAGCCGGCTGCGCCGCTCACTGCTGCCCGCAAGCCATCGGACAAATTCTGCGTAATGCTCTTTCCGACAATAATTGTATCCGAGCTAAGCCGAGAGATCAAATCACCAACTCTGTTCGCGTCGAAAAACTCTGCATCCTGAATGAATGTCTGACGAAAGAGCTTTGAGCGAAGTCTAGCAACAATGCGTTCACCAACAATGCGCAGAATAATGATGCGACCATAATTTGCGGCAGCGCCCAGGGTGAGGACTCCGGCCAAAGCTCCATAGAACATTGGTAGACTGAGGCCGAAGAGTTCACTGCCCCCTTCGGTAGCAGACTTTGTCGCCACATCCATGATCTTACCAATAGAAAAGGGAATCGACATGGTGATGGATGACGAAACCAGCAAAAATAAGAAAGCAAACCCGAGCTTCCTGGCCTCTGGCCGTGCAATGGATAGAAGTCTCCATATTTCTTTAAACCCTGATTTCTTTCCCGATGCGCCGTCTTTAGCCAACTTTGCGCTGAGATTGACTTTTGCTGCCTGCGCTGCCCGTTCGGATAGTTCAAAGCCTTTGTCTACTTCTTCATCCTCCTTTTCCTTGCTTGTATTGTTCACCTGAGAAGTATTCGTCGATTGGGTGGTTGACTTGGATTCTAGATACCGGTGCGTAGAGGAGAAAAACCGTAAACCGTGAGAGAGTCGCGACTGAGGGAAGACACGCCTGAGGACATTATTCTGGAGATAACTCGTAGGGGGCTGGAGACGACAGTTGCTAGTACTGTTGCACAATGAAGCCGTGACTCCCGAAAACAGTCGAATTTGGCCTGTATAGACTCCAGTTACACATGAATGTGTCTGAAATCCAGGGTACAGCTCCTTGAGAATGCTTCCTCTTGGCTGAATGAACTGCCTCGCGGTGACTACTGGAGTCCAAGCCCCAAGCACCCGGACTCCGCGCATTTCGGAAATGTGAATTGAAGCGGAATCGAACGGCTAACTAGAAGGATGTCATGAGAGAGAATAGGGTGCCATATCCTCACTAGACAAACAAAAATACAGTCGTATTCATGACAATGCAGAAACCAATGTCTGCTTCGCAAATTAACACGGGTGTCGGAGTATAGTAGGTACTAGTCAGCTGCAGCTGAACACCGCGTGAAACCAGCCCGATTATCGCCGCATCGACGGAGACGCAATCGGCGTTTGTTCTGCCATCCGACACCGCCCGGGACGGTTCCGCAGCCATCGAAGCTGATCGAGAGCTTTCGATGGGAGCTCGATCTGGACGATACATTTACTTGGAGCCTATTTTGTTGAGGTCCTATATAGTCACTGGTAGGGTTCTCCATTAAATGCGATGCGTTACGAGTGTCCCTGACTGATCTCTCACATATAGTTGGAACCCAATTTTCTCCTCTATTTACTACTTCATCTACCATTTAGTATTACCCCACTTGCAACTACCCCTCCTGTCGGAAGTTGTCCAAGATGGTGCTCGATTACAGCAAATGGGATGCGCTTGAGCTGTCTGATGATTCGGACATCGAAGTACACCCTAATGTCGACAAGCGCTCCTTCATCCGTGCCAAACAGGCTCAGATTCATCAGCAGCGCATGCAACGCCGCCATGAAATCGAAACTCTAAAGTACGAGCGTGTCATTAACGACGGACTTCTATCCCGCATAGACCAACTCCTGAAGTCACTCCAACAGCATGAGGGTTCCTCGAAAACACCCGAAGAAGTGGTTTTCCATGTCCTCATGGAGTCGGCAAGCAATCCCTCAGAAGATCAGCCCCCTGCCCCACCAGCCGGTGTATACACGCATGAGAAAGAACAGCCGAAGTATTCTCAAATGATGAGCTCACTGGTGGATCAGGTTAAGAAGGAGATGGGCGAAATTAGCTCCGACAACCTCCTCAAGGAATACATTAAGGGTGTGCAAGGACACAAGGACAAGGTACAAGGCTTGCAGAAGGAATTGCTGGCGAAACTCGCAGAACTGGAGAAGGAAGAAAGCAGCAAAATCACAAGCGACCAGATACATACCGGCTTTGACACATCTTTCGTCGCCAAGAACGACTCTAAGGGCAAGGAAACTGAAACCAAGAAGGCAGAATCTGTTGAGCTGCTGAACCCTACCGCGGTATCGGGGGCTTCGTCGCAGAAGGCGACCGCTGATGAAGAGGAAGAGGACCCAGAAAACATGAAGGCTAGTGATCTGGCCAAGCGGTTTGCAAAGATTAATCGTAACGATTACCGTACCTTGCTTCAGTTCATCTCTGAGCACCCAGACCTCGTCGCAGAGAAGGAAACGGATGGTCTGCTAGTCGAAGCATTCAATAGCCAAATGGATGGTAATGAGGACTATGCTCGTACATGTGTTCACCATGGCCTACTGCTACAGTATTGCCGCTCCTTGGGCCGTGACGGCATTTCTCTCTTCTTCAAGCGGTATGTTGCCCTTTGTATCTAGGGAGTATGGGGTCATCAGACAGCTAACATGGATTGGCATGCAGTATCACGACGAAAGATCATCAAGCATCGACGCTTTTCCGAAACGATGTCAATGAAACCTACAATAAGATCAAGACTCGTGCAGCAGAACTCGCTAAGGATGGTTCTGCATCCAACGACCCCGCTGGTGTTGAGCAGATCCAGCTTCATGCGGTTGACCCCAACACCAAGATCACTATCAATATCCCTGCTGCGGAGAGTAGCGAACCTGTCGAAGTCGAAGCACGCAAGATCTTTGAATCATTTTCGAAGGACTTGCAGCAGGCATTGAGCTCTGAATCTTTAGATGAAGTCAATAAGGTCCTCGGCAAGATGAGTGTAGAGGAGGCAGAAGACGTTGTGGAGAAGCTTGGTCAAAGCGGTATGCTCAGCCTCGAGGAGGGTATTGTGGATGCTACCACAGAAGAAGGTCGGAAGAAGTTGGAAGAGATCGAAGCCGAAAGCAAGAAGGATAATAAGATTGAGGAAGTGGGAGAGCCGGGCGGTGACATTACTGAACTTGACTAAGAATTTATGCGGGATACTGGTCGATTGTAATGACGTGTATATCTTTCTGCATGTTTCAAAAATGATGCATTGTCTAATTACTACTACTATTCACCTCTGATACATGTTTAATATGCAATGCTTCTTTCTGTGCAATGTGATTGGGCTGGACTTTGTAGACATATTAATTAATTACCCAGGCTACTCCTGATGGTAAACTTAATCGATGTATTCATTTTCGAAGTGCGGCTTATTGGGGTTATACCAACAGCCTATGTACGATGTGTACGGAACAAGTTGCATATTATCTACCTACATAAGTTTCAAGAAGTTAAAGCTCCAATAGAAAAACACGGTTGAAAGAAAATAAAGAACAGAACGCAACCGTAACTGAGTATCCGAGGAATAGAACTTGTGTAATGGAGTATCTGGATCGAGAAAAAGAGTGCTATGCACCTGGCAAGGAGGATAGAATAACGAAGTCATAATAAATGCATTGCAATGCAAACAAGGTCTAGATGCCACTGGCACCGGGGGCATTCTCATCCTTCTTCAGATCAACCAACAGCTGACGGAAGCGCTCCTTGCCAGATCCGTTCGCACCACCCTTGGCGCCCTTTCCAGAGACATCAACAAGTTTTGCGATGCGATCCCAGCTGGTACCTCCGGAAGAAGTGTCTTCGCGATTGGCGAGGAATTGTTCGGCATCCGCACGAGTCTGAGCATGCAGCTTATCGGTCTTATTGTTATAGGAAACGTAAAAGTCATCGATATCTTCTTGAGCCTTCTTAACAGTTGCTTGCTTCTTTTCTTCGGAGATCTCCGCGCGGCGTGCAATGTCCGCATCTCGTCTTTCGCGCCATTCCCTAGAAGAGTTCCCAAGTTAGCGTCATAGCGAAGGAGAGTACGTCGTCGGTTGATACGCCCAATATGCAACAATCGTCAGTGGGATCTATAATACATACCTAACAGGCTCGGATTCCTCCTCCGGCGCTTGGTAGCTTGAGAAGCCCGTGGGCGGGAAAGGAGCGCCGGTTCCAGTGATCATGCCGCCAGGCGCAACTTGCTGTTCAAGGAAACACATGTCAATTAAACAGTCTTTTGCAAAGGCATGAACGCCTATATCCGTACCTCATTCTGTGTCTCAATGGCAGGGAAAGAAGATTCGAATCCGGAGATCTCGGGGGCTGCGCCAGATGGAGCCTCCTCCGCACCGCCCAGTAAATCGTCATCGCCAGCATTTACATCGTCGGTGTTAGCGACGTGGTCTTGAGGAGTAGCGAATTGCTCTGCATCGTCACCTAGAACGGCTCGTTCGCGGGCTAGGAAATCATCGGCATCTGTGCCGTTGGCCTCCACAACTTCAGTTTGGCCTAGGAAACGATTAGTTAGTACATACTTGGAACGGGGGGGTTGCATGTGGGATCCTGACCAGCAGAGAAGTCTTCTAGTGAGGGGAATCGGTCTGCCATGGTATCTATGAGTCTGCCAAAGCTGGTTCTGAATGCACAATGAGTATTTGATCAAGGGAGGTGGTAAGGGGAAGTTGACGGGAATGTGATGGTCCAGCTGGCGTCTAGAAGCGGTACAGTTGGGATGTTGATTGTCTCCCGAGGGCATGATTCTGCCGTTCAAGGCGGTGAGTAAAGCTTAGGAAGGTGTAACGGAGCTTCACTGAGTACTTGTTGGTAACAAAACACCTCCACATCCGTCTTAATTCAGCACATATTGCCACTTGGTCGTTGTTCGCATTGCTTATGTATTGCATTCACTTGTTTTAATATCCAAGATTGGCACTGTCTGCATCGCAAAACAATCAGTGATTACAATAGGAGTTGTAGCAAGACCTCTTTCTCACCGAGCTTCATTTATTACCAAAACATAGGATCAATTGCTCTATCCCAGTTCCGGTCACAGTTACAGTATGGCCTATACAGACGATGCTGTGAAAGCGAAGCTTTCAGCCCTCAATGAGACACAGGAGGGTATTGTCACTGTTGCGCAATGGGTTATGTTCCACAGGTAATTAGACAGATGGCGATAATTGTTGATATTGTTTAACATCTTTGTGTTATACTAGGCGACATGCTGAGCGTACTGCGCAACTTTGGCTACAAAAGCTTCGTGACTCCCCGGCGCCAAAACGATTGAATTTGATATATCTTGCAAATGGTATAGTGATGGCTTTGCCTAGTATTCGGTTCCGTCTAGGCGCTAATACAGACGTTAGAGGTTGCGCAACAGTCAAGAGCACGACGGAAGGAGGATTTCTTAATAGCATTTTCACCAGTCAGTTCAACTCGCAAACGTTAAGGGGATTCAAGCTAATATGATGAAGATTATCGCAGAGGCGACGGCTACTGCGTACAAAGGTGCTTCGAATGACATCCAGCAGAAGCTCCGGCGAGTAGTAGAGGTCTGGAGACAACGGGCAATCTTTGAGCTGCCGATCCAGGACGCGGTTGAAGCGCGTGTAGATGGTAAGCCTGTCTCAACCCAAGCCTAATAAGTCGACGCGAACCACTGATTATAAGGCAGAAATTGATAAATCACGCTCCATCGGTAAAAAGCCGCCTCTGGGCGGGTCACTCTTCTCGAGCTCGTCTGGCTCAACGCCTTCTGAGCTCCAGCCCCTTGTTCCGCTACAAGTGGCCCTATCGAAATCTACAGTCGCCTCAGGCGCATCTGCGACGACTGCTAATGCCGAGTATGATAAGATGCATGACCCCAGTACCCCGTTACCGACACCTCCAGTACATGCCGCGCGACTCAGCCAGCTATTGAAGGCGCTTGCGAATGCCGAGAGCTCCGTCTCTGAGGTAATAAAATCGCGATTAGCACTCATTGATGGTCTCGAAAAACTTCTTGAGACCAATCGCTCGGCGTTGACGAAGGAGCAGTCTCTGGCTACTCAGCTATCAGAAAGAAGATTGGAGACTGAGACGAAGAAACGCGAGGTGGAGGATGGAATTATGAGAGGGCTATCCGCTGAGAATTCGCCAGCCGCCCACCTTGGAGACTCCGAGGGAGATCCCGTCACGCGTCCGGAAGTTGAAGCTCTGACCCCACCACCGGTGGAAGCTCTTACACCCGTTGGATCGCCAAAACAGGGGCTGCAAGAGATGGATATTGCTGCACAGAGCAATGCTCAATCTCATGAACCGCCCGTGGGCTTCTCATTGCCAGGCTTTGGATTTACAGCAGAAGCTGCTCCAAGTAGTCTTCAAGATGACCCAAATGGGCTCCATTCCAAGAAACGCAAGGTCGTTCATGAGGAAGAAGACTATGCTAAGTTTGCCAGTGGTGATCTGGACGCCGATGTCGCCGAGTTATTGCAGCAAGAAAGCAATCTTCCCAAGTGAAGCCGGTTATGTATGCCACTTGGTTGTCCGCGAAAAGCTTTGTTGGCCGGCCTTCTTTGATATCTTCTCATGGATCCCTGATTGCGCTCTTCCTGGCGACCGTGTATCTGTCGGAAATCTGAAGAATAGGAAGAATAAACATGATATATCATGTCCCGGTGATTATTCATATAGCTTCGTTGTTATACTAGGTTAGTAGCTACTGTTCTGTATCGAATATTTACCTTGCATGTACCTTGTTGTGACCTTGTAAAGTCTATTGCAACACTCATTTGACTTAAATTATGAATTACTATCATGGTGTCTGTTAAGGGCTAGAGCTATCGGTGTATGTCAGGATCCACCCATTTGCTTCGTGCAGCCAGGGCCAAAGACGGGCGCCTCTTCCGTCGATAGACGGTTTCAAATGTTCGGGGAGAGACCACAGGTGGGTGTTCATTCGATGGAGGGGGTTGCTGTGGGGTGTCTGGAGCAGGCGCTGGCGAACTACCAGCATGTCGTTTTGGTTTGACCAGAAGTATTATGAACAATCCTGCGACAATAATGACCAATAATAGAAGGATTTTACGCTTCGTTGTACGCCGCTGGTAATTAGTGGCCTATAAATAGCACGGCTAGTTAGCATCATCTTTGAGACATACAATATGGCACTTATAAAGACTTACCACTTTGAGTTCCTTATCAGCAGCTTTGACTTCTGTATTCATTTTCTCAACATTATAGTCTATCCGGTCCAGCATGGTACCTTGGTCGATGACCATTGCTTGAAGTTCGCGGAATATGTCTGATAGCTCAATGATACCTTTGGCAATATCATTGATTTCCCTTTCTCGCTGCATTATGGCGGCATCATTCTCTCCTCTGAGTCGCTGTGATGTTTGCATCAGAGTTGTCTGCGAAAAGGACTTGTCTGCATCGGATTCCATCAAAGAGGGATCCGTATAAGGATTCTGTACAGGTGTTGGAGATCGTTCGAACGGGTTCGCTGCACCCTCCAGCCCCCGTAATTCTATCAATAGCACCGTTAGCAGATTTAACATGTATGAAACGGAAACAGCGGCGACCTCACTCTTTAAGTATGTACTTTGTTTCTTCCTGAACCGAGCACTTGCCTCTTGAACTCGTGAAGCAAGAGATATTTGAATATTTTTGGCCATAGTTTCATCCCCACTGCTTACACCACCTTGTTGTTTTGCGTCGCGCACCATCAACTCAATCTTCTGGACCGCCTTCTGGCATTCATGGAAGGAGCGTGTGATCTCCTGTGTGAGCCGCTCGATAACACTTTCATCTTGTTTCCTTACTTCTTCGTCCCCAAACCCTGGTAGAAGGTGTTTCTGGTGTAGCTTATCCAATTGGGCAGACTTCTGCGCAATGTCGGCAAGTAGCTCTGTCACCTCTTCCTGCACGTCGACCCAGCGCGGGGGAAGCACATCCATCTCAATAATTGCATCGCCATCATCATCTAGTCCTCCTGATTCCGATATAAGTCTGCGGCTTTCCTCTGGTTCTGACAGTGAATCGGAGAAGCCATTGGATGCTCCGATATAACGAGGTTTCTTGGCCGGATGATGCGCGAATGATTGACGGTAGGAGATATATCTGAGCGAAAGAGATGTTAGTTCTTCCACCAATGACCACACCGAGCGCAGAAAACCTAAAAGAATTCATTACAAATTCGTACGATCGCGCCACATTGTGAAAGGGCGGCGTGTCTGGGTTGCTTTGCGGTTATCTTCTCAACGGAGTGTCCTTTAGGTAGTCTTGATCATCGTTGGTCAATGGCTGAGGGTAGTCATTAGCCGCAAACCTAGCCCGAGTATGAGGAAGGGGCGCTCCGGTTCGCGACAGGCGTATAGTCATAAAAAGCAGAACTGTTCATCATATAGATACTGACCATCAATACTTCCGTAGCTCGCTCTCCGGAGACGGCCCACGTGAAGGGGGAGAGGTCTAGTCCTCATCCGGGTTAGTGGTATCAGGTCCCGCGGTATATCACGTGATACTATACCCGTAACTGTCCTGTAATTAGTAGTGTGGCTCCCCACAGGCATCTCGACCCATGAGGCTTCTAGACACTATGTGAGAGGAGCTGTGTTAGCAAGACATCATGGGCGCATGTATGCTGCAGGGCAGAAGATAAGGGTGCCGCATTTTCAAGATTAAATTTATCTACCACTGATGGAGGGAATACTGAAGGCTACCTTAAAACTATATTCCGACTACTCACTGGGCCATCCATGAATATCTACTCCATATTCCAAAACCTCCGTGATATGGTGAATGTCAAATTCAATTCATCGATAGGAGTATAAACTTACTTTCATAAATATGTCTCGCATGAGGAGCACGGTTCAAACTGCCGCATGCTGTATGTTGTAGGTCATCATTGAATCAGGATGGGGTTCAGGTACCTGAAATTGCCACCACTAAGGACCAGTAACCGAATATTCGCTTGCCTTCAAGCTTTCCTGTATGGATGAATGGCGGGGTGCCACGCTGTCTCTGGACGTGTGTATGTCTATACAGGCATACATATAGCATGGAGATATACTTAGAACAGGACACTAGTGACAGACTATCTATTTGTGATCTTGATAGTAGCGCTAAATTCTGCACCCGTAGGCTACAGCAATCGAGGAAAAATGATTTCAGACGGCTGAAGAGAGAGATCGGGCAGTGCTTGCTTGACCTTCAGCCAGTCCTCCTTTTAGAGGGCGCTCGGAGCATCTTATGGCTAGGGCGGGTCACGTTTTGCGACCGCCTTGTGAGGCACTCAGCTCTGTGGTCGGCCGGGCTGGCCATTTATTATGATTGAAGTAAGTCGGGTCGGTTCCCCTTAAACAACGCCCGTCTTCCCAACTTTCCCCCCACCAATATCAACGCGGTCAACTTCTTGAACCTCCCACCTATTCTCATTTGTATCTTTGTTCCTTTCCTTATTTTTTTCACCCCTTTTTTCATCCCCCGTCCACATTCACCATGGTATGTCATGCTTCCTTCCATCGTTTTCAGTCGTGTTCAAAATCCCCCACTTTGCGGGGCAGATCGTCGAGCATTCTGAACGAAATTGCTGACAGCGCATCTTCTAGGCCGACTCTTTGACTGAAGAACAAGTCTCCGAGTACAAGGAGGCCTTCTCTCTATTCGTAAGTCATTATCGTCGTTCGCGAAAATCGGTTGTCGTTAGCCTTTATCTGAGCACAAGCTGACTTCGCTCCTCTTGGGTCCCCAATAGGACAAGGACGGTGATGGTTAGTACAAGTCATTTTTATTCAATCTCCCTTCAAGTGCGACCAATATCTTTTAGCCGCCATAATTTTATCCATTTTCTGTTCGATCGGCTGAAGTCTTGGCGTCGATGAATTGACATGATATGCAGGCCAGATCACCACCAAGGAGTTGGGCACTGTCATGCGCTCTCTGGGCCAAAACCCCTCTGAGTCGGAACTCCAGGACATGATTAACGAGGTTGACGCCGATAACAATGGCACCATTGACTTTCCTGGTACGAGAGGGCTTCCGTACGATCCACACTTGAAATAGTTGTTAATGTTCAATCAGAGTTTCTTACGATGATGGCGAGAAAGATGAAGGATACCGACTCTGAGGAGGAGATCCGGGAGGCTTTCAAGGTTTTCGACCGCGATAACAACGGCTTCATCTCCGCTGCCGAACTGCGCCACGTCATGACCTCTATCGGCGAGAAGCTTACCGATGACGAAGTTGATGAGATGATCCGCGAGGCGGATCAGGATGGTGACGGCAGGATTGACTGTACGTTTTGAGAAGCTTTCCCGATCTAGAGCGGCTGTGAAACTGGTGATACTGACCGATTTTAGACAACGAGTTCGTCCAGCTCATGATGCAAAAATAAGCGCTGCCTTCCTGTATATCCCGCCAATTGATAGCGAAAATGAGTGAGAGCAAAGAAATCTATCCATCATGTCTCATTCCCGTCCCTGCCATTGCTTGTAGTCTACTGAGGCTGAATCCACTGTCGATGACAGTCGGCCAAGCGTACCGTTTTAAGTGTTGTCTTTTTTCTTCGCGGGATGAATGCAGTTGGATGGATTTAGACCGAGCCAAACGAAACGAGATGATGTGGTATCTAGGAAACATTGAATGTCTCCTGTTTGGCATGACCGCTTTTGGCTTGCAATTTTCTTTGCCAATTTTTCTTCGCCCTTCTCTCTTACCTACTATTTACGTTTATCATACAGCCCATTCGCGTTCCTAACTTTTGCTCATAAGCTCTTTGATCCCCGTAGCAGGTTTGACTGCATATTTAAAAAAAAAATTAAATAAGAGACCCTTTGCATATTCCATATTGTCCATCGTTTCTCTACGTTTTACTAGACATAGGCTGCTATCTTTGATACCTTGGAAAGTTGCTAAGTCTTAATGAGAATCATCCACCAGGAAGTGAGGGAGCTCAGGTAAAGATCATTAATTATGCGTAAGCTGCAACGTTCCGCACCCTTTAACGATTGAATCTAAAAATTTCCATGAATTGCCTCGCCACGTCAACTCCAGCTTCCGGGTCGGGATCTTCATCCTGCTGCCCGCTTCCCGCGATACTGGTAGATAGTTGGCGCGCTTTCTGGTCCCCTAGCTGCTTCAACTTTCGCAACTGCTCTTTGGATTCCCTGCCGATATCCTGTACTAGAATCGCTTCCCGCGCCCCTTGAATGCCCAAGCGCGCCCAGAACTCTCGAATCAATGTTGCAGTCGCAGCATACTCAGCATCAATATCTGCCTCCTCAAGACTCTCAGGAAATGCCATGTCAATCCCAGAGTCACTGTCATCATCGGGTACGCCGCCATCTCTAGGGCCGCCAAACGCCTTCTTGGACTGGCTAAATAGCGACGCGATGGACGTCACTAAAGACGGCCCCTTCCATTCTATCTCTACAACAGTACCCCTGACCCTTGCAGCCGGCTGCGTCTGTCGTACATCACCAATTCGGACCCGAAAATCACCAACATCATACACGACACCACCAGGAACAGTGACGGTGTGTCGATGGCACCAGAACGGTTGGCAGGCGTAAACAAAGTGCTGAAAGAGTGCACTGCACGCCGGCAATGGAACAGTCGTCATGACCATTGACGAATGATGCTGACTGTTCAGTGCCGGGGCCTGTGTAGGTGTCGCGGTCTGTTGTGGAACTGGGGTTGGAGAGGCGGGACTCGGTGCCCCTGGAGCTACTGTACCGGGAGTTCCAGCGCCAGGGTGAGTGCGAGGCACCTTTTCTGGTGGCGGAGACGTGTAAATGAACCCATGGTTTGGAAAATAGGTCAGCGAGAGGAACTGCATGTACCTCGGTTGTGTGGGACATTGGGACGCAGATGCAGGCAAGCAGGATGGGGTGTCCCGCATCAGCTTGTGCTCTAGGGCCCAGCGGCCCACAGGAATGGGTTCATCGGCTAATGATGAATGAAGACGCTCTGTAACTGTAGCGAAAGCCGTGGAGGCGTTGGGGTTTGATGGGATGAAGAAGACTCTGTTGCTGTCAGTATATGTGCGATTTTGAATGGAAGTGGTGCCCATTACCCAGTGATTGGCATCTTGATGAAAATTCAGAGTGGCGATAGTAGAGCCTTTCGAGAGAGAGTATGCCTCTTCGATCCAGATATCTGGGTATATCCGGTATCCAAACAGACGATTGGTAGAGAAGGGAAACCAGGGGGTATCTAAAGCCTAAGGAACAAGATGTAAAGAACGGCAATGTAAGAATAATAGAGTCTACGCGCGTCCAATAGAACTATTCAACAGCTACCACAGTACATAATAGACCCAGTCGCATGTGAAGATCTAGCATTGTCAGTGACTACGGCAAAATGACTGAAGCTTGACGGGTTGGCTCCATACCTACTTGATAGAGGCAATATATTTGATATTAGGTGTCATTCAGACTGAATGAGTACTAGTAAAGTGATATTGTCCAAGTAAACTTGGCCCACACCAACAGACAATGATATAGTTTATCCAGTAACACTTCCGTATGTAGCAATCGTCAATCTTGGTAGCAAGCTGTGGTTGCCCGAGGCATCAAATGCAAACAGGGCAAACGCTCTGCCAAGGGAGACACACGACCACCCACTCCAAACCATGGTTGAGCGCCACTAACTTACGATTCCATCTCCACCTTGAAACAACAACTTTATCCAAAAATCCACCGATGTTCCAAGTCTCAACCTGGATCTTTCTCGCGTATTTATTGACTTTGTCTGGTACCACTGCATTGACACTCTCTCACGCCACATTCCTAATTATCAAAGTACCTTCCCTGCGTCTAGAGCCAAGACACGGCAAAAAGATGCGCTGAGACAGTGGAGCACAGGGGCACTTTGGAGGCGGGATGTCATGTTAAGAATAGCATATTTGGCTGGGCTAAGCCTTCTCCTTCCAGGGCCCTAAGGCTCTAAGGGTCCCAGGGACCACTTTGATTACGCAATGCCCACTATATCATTTTCTGTTTAACTCACTAAGGCAGGACACTTCAGCCACACCTTTCGCCCAGGCTCCTCTTCCTGATCAACATGCCAATCATTGCCTAGATGTTTGATAATGGAAAGCCATTCACTTACAACAACATTCCTGATTAATTGCCTCCATGCTCACCTGCCAATCAAGGCGAAAGGACAGGTCGAGCCAACGGCGATCACTGGGGCTGAATTTCTACTCGAACTGCCCATAATATCCAAGAATTAATGTCTGGGGTGCTTTGTTCATCCCCCCCCTTGATGGATGCTCTAGGCTTTTCTCTTCCTGACCTGAAGATTTCGAATCTCTTCTCTTCCCTCTCCAGCATTAGATGCTACTCTTACCTCTGAGCATGCTGTATCTACATTCCTTAATGTTGTTTCTTTCGTTTTCAACCTAATCTCGAGCTGCAAAAAGCTCATTAGCATTCCCTTGCCCATTGTCCTTCCTTCCAACTTCTTAACCATAGCTACTTTTGTGGTTATTCTCTCTTTACACTATGCTTTGTGTTCGAAAAAGCTATTTTCTTCCAACATTTATCTTAGTCTTCCTCACGTATATCCTTTTCTCTAGTCTACCGCCAGGCGCGGAAATACCGTACATTGACGACCCCGCAGAATATGGACCTCCTCCAAGGCCTCCTCCAAAGGGCAACGACTTAATTCATTATAGAAATCCCACCGAGCAACACCCTGTGGAAGAATATATCCCCCTTCCAACAGCTGTCCCGTCTCCCATTCCCCGCGTCCAGTATGAATTTCCGGCGGAGTCATGGCTTACTCGCAGAAGAAGGTTGAAGAAGCAGAACGCTGTGCGGAATGCCTTTAAACACGCATGGAAAGGATACAAGAAACATGCATGGCTACGGGATGAGCTCTCACCCCTCAGTGCTGAATACCGGGAATCATTTGGTGGATGGGCAGCTACCCTGGTTGATTCTCTTGATTCACTCATCATCATGGGGTTGAAGGACGAATTCGAAGATGCGCTGCAAGCAATTGAACAGATTGATTTTTCGACCACTGGCGCCACGCAAATCAATGTTTTTGAGACAAATATCCGATACCTAGGAGGCTTTCTGGGAGCTTACGATTTAACTAATGGAAGTTACCCCATACTTTTGAAGAAAGCAGTAGAGGTTGCCGACCTGATATATGGCTCATTTGATACTCGTAATAGAATGCCCCAGTCTCGTTGGGAGTGGACGAGGTGAGATAGAACCTTTGTTGAAGTGGTCAAAAATGCTATGTTAGCATTACAAAAGAGTGCTAACAATGCCCTAGGTCGGCGCTAGGAATGGGCATCCAGCCCAGCCGCAACACCATTCTTGCCGAACTGGGTTCCCTAAATCTAGAATTCACCCGAATGACGCAGTTGACCAAGAACCCAAAATATTTCGACGCGATTCAAAGGATTACGGATAAGCTGGAATCCGCACAGTTGCGCACCCAAGTACCCGGTTTGTGGCCTATGATGGTCGATGCACATGATATGGAATTCAACGATCCTCGATTCACTGTCGGTGGAATGGCCGACTCCACTTATGAGTATCTTCCAAAGGAGCATATATTGTTGGGGGCGCAGACGAATCAATACCGGAAAATGTACGACGCGGCGATGAACTCTATTAAGAAGCGGCTGCTTTTCCGGGGCATGACCAAGGATGGGAAGGACATCATGTTCGCAGGCAATATCCGCGCTACTTCTAAAAGCGTCATCGAACCCCAATTTGAACACCTGAAGTGCTTTCTCGGAGGGACTGTAGGCATAGGAGCCAAGGTGTTTGACCGCCCCGAGGAATTATCGATCGCGCGCAAATTAACCGATGGTTGTATCTGGGCATATGATATCATGCCTACAGGGATTATGCCCGAGGCGCTATATGTCAGTCCCTGCAAGAATATGGATGACTGCGAGTGGGATGAGCAGAAATGGCACACTGATATTCTTCGTCGTTTCGCCAAATACTCCCAAGGGGAAGAGGCTGCCCAGAAAATTATCAGCAACAATAAACTGCCACCAGGTGTGACTGAGATTCCAGATGCAAGGTATAACTTGAGGTATGTCAGCTATTACTCTACCCAACATATTATTCTTGGTGGATATTGATGGATAACCTAGACCGGAGGCTATTGAATCTGTGTTCATTATGTACCGTATCACGGGGGACAAGGAACTGCAAGATGCTGCATGGCGGATGTTCCGTAGCATCGAGAAGATGACCCTGACTCGCTACGCGCATGCAGCTATCTCGGATGTGCGAAACCCTGAGTCGTCACAGCTGGACTATATGGAAAGTTTCTGGCTTGCAGAGACGCTCAAGTACTTCTATCTTATTTTCTCTGAGCCGGACGTCGTCAACTTGGACGAATACGTACTGTATGTACCCTCGATATCCCCACCGGGCAAGCGTCCCATGGCCGTTTAAGGTTATTTAAACAGAAGTTACTAACAGCAATCGTATAGGAACACCGAGGCACACCCATTCAGACGTCCAACCGCTTGAACATGATGCTCTAGCTTTTTTGCCTTCATTTCTTATTTCACTTATATTTGGTTACATAAAGGGTTCGTTGGCGCACAGGAGTTACATGGAGATCTAAATTAGCAGGACTAAATTTCATCTATGGATATGCCTATAATAAGAAAGCATCATAATAAAAACATTAGATATACAGAAGTATTTCGATCCCGCGTCTAACTCCTTCAATCATACTCAATCGTATACTGTACATCCTTCCGAATAAACATCCTCCCCCCACTACACTCAGCAGCATCTGATCCATTCCTCTCCACAAGCTCAATAGACGAACCCATAGAGCCAGCCTTCGGCGCACCACTCTCGTCACTCCCCAGCCTTTCATGAGTCTTCAACCATGTTCCTGACCGAGACACACGCCATCTCTCCCTCCCATCCACCACCGAAGGCAAACCCCTAGTCCCTGATTTCGACGAGGAAGAATGATCCTTCGGTGTCCTGGACGCAGACCCACTCTCCAGATTCGAATCGCCTGCCGTCCCGTAATTCGTACTAACAGCTGCCATGAACGGCCGAAGACAAAATACGCTACATGCAACGAGAGCATAGTGCAGCTCAACCTGGGCCCATATAATCGGTTCGACGGCAGCGAGAGTAGGATCCGGCGATGAGATGTTTTGATTCAGGGCACAGAGATGGAGTATAGAGAAGATGACGAGTCTTCACATACGTTAGCTAGCTATAAAGCAATGGTAAATAGGAGATAATCCTCACGGTAGGCGAAAGAAGAAGGCAAAGCCTATAGGCAGTTTGCGCTTAAGAGGCATAAATAGACCAGCTAGGAGGGTGGCTGCGACCGCGAAGAGGAGAACTTCAGTTAGGATGTCCATTGCGACGATGAATTGCCAGCGTTTTAGCTTTATGGGGTTCTGTTAGCTGGTTCGGTGGTAGATGAGGGTGTAGCGGGGATATAGACGGGGAACTTACCAGATTCACGCATTGTGCTCCGGCGCCTTTCCAGGGTCGATTTAGCTCGCAGTTGATCGCGATAATGGATACTGATGTGATTATCCATGCTGTGCAGAGAGCGAGTGTGGCCCAGGAAATCCGGTTATGGAGTTTCTGGGGTGTGAGACGGAGGTGGATGCCCACTACACAACATTTGGAGACGTAGACGGTGATTAAGTAGAGAATGTCGCTGACTGCGACAAGCTATAGGTTGCTTTGTTAGGAGGTTGGGCTTCTGATATTCTTGGGGATTAGGGCACGTGCTGTCTGAATGGTATCTACTTGGTCGTGCCGTAGTAGATCAATAGCCGTTCCAAATCCGTGAGACACGGCGCCGAACAGGAGCGAGGTTTGGACAACTGCAAAAATCTATTATTGTCAGAGATGTTTAACTAGTTCCTGCCATCTTTTGATTCGAATTAAGATAGTCCGACGGATGGTCATAGCTTACCGTTGCTCCTAGCAGGACAAAGTCGTCGTATGCGAACGGCGGGCTGAGCACAAGTCGCACATAAAGACGAATCAGAAAACTGACTAGCGAGACAACTAGTCCCAGGGCGCCAGTGATAATTATCCAAGCTCCATGATGGGAGTCGTCTACCACCTGAAAAGGAGGTGAATAACCCGGAGGTACATACACGACCATGACGCTGAGGACCTGAGGTGACCCCAGCCGCTGGAACAAGATAAATAAAATAGACTCGCCTATACACCGTTATTTCGCTTACTGCGCCATGATTACAAGAATGAGGCTTTTTCTTAATCACTCCCTTTTGCTTTTTACTGTTTTCCTCGGTTATTTGCTCTAGCCAGCCTTAGGGCCAACCAGGCGTCAGAGCCAGGGTGGGATATGTGATGACCCGCGAAAAAGCATCGTGCCTAACAGCTGACACGGTTATCATCGTCGATCACCCGCAGAAATTACGATTGGGCTTCGCCGCTCGAATCAGATCTACAGAATCGAACGGGGGTTCTGGCAAGCTCAGACAGTCAATCCTTGAAAATATCATCACAAACCTTGGCCAAGACCGTCCCTTCTCCCCCTATTTCCTTTTGAGTTCGGGGGTACCAACTAGGTTCCGGGGAGCGACACTGTCTTGAAATTGATGCCAGGAGGAAGAGACTGCTTGGCCAAGTATGGTATGTGACATTGCTCGTGGAGGATCGTTTCAGTGTGGTCCAGGCTCCCGTTTAAGCTCAGTCAAGGGGGGCTTCCGTGCACGATCAGCGCCAGTCGGTCCATGTTAAGCGGTAAAGCTCGTGATCGATATTTTGGCTTTCCACTGTCAATAGTCGACGCACGCAAACACCCCAAATAGCCAATCTTTGATTAGTGACGATCCCGGCGGTCACACATGAGCTGACACACGACATGCGACTTTGGGCGTGGGGGGAAATTAGCATTTATTCTCTCCGAAAAGCTCGTCAGCAGGTAATACACTGAACAATGCCGGGCTTCGGATGAGATTCTGCGATATACTTCTATGGACAGCTGTTCACAAGAGAAGGGGTTGACTCTCTTTGAAACTCATACTCGAGGGATCAAACACAGACACATGTAAGGCGCCCGCGAAATGCGAAATAGACTCAGAAACAATAATCAGCACCCAACGATCAACATGCCACAAAATGGCGCGCCTCGCAGGCAGCGGCGATCAGGATGACGAGCTCATGCATTCCTCTTTTTTCTTTTTGGATCTTGCTGTCCCACATGGCTGGAACTATGTCTTTCACATTGGCTCGCAAACTCGAGAATATTGTTCTAGCCTCGTTTGGTGAAAACAATTACTACCCCTCGCACGAGACGGAATTTACCCCTACTGCGACAGAATCTCCTCCATTACTCCCGAATTATCCTCATGTACTAACTGGACCTTCATACTATCGGCAAATCTAGAGGTGTCTGCGCCATGGTACATGCTGCTGACCTTAAACATGAAGCTGAGGCATTCAACATCTCCGAGGCTGGATATGCCTCCAAAGGCCTTGTTGAGCCCAAGTATATGGGCACTATAGCAGATCAGAGAGATATGAATGTATTGGGCCGAGCCCAAGTTCTGCGGGTGAGCCTGCCCATGTCGATCCACGTATAGTACTGACACCGTTAGCTTAGAGGAATTTCCGATTTGTTTCGATTGTTGGGTTCGGCTGCACTTTAATATCTACGTGGGAAGTCATACTGACGTATGTTTCTCCGGTCTTTCTGGCATTGTTTGTCCAACTAATTGCTGGCCAGGTTGTTGAGTGCTGGCTTAACCGACGGTGGGACTGCTGGCTTGATATGGGGTTTTATTATTGTTTCGTTAGGGTTCACCCTTGTATTTGCCAGCATAGCTGAGATGGCGTCAATGTGCGCTCTATGGTCGCTCCGTCACTATTCACGGGGCTCAAGCTGACCTTCTTTTGACAGGGCTCCGACATCTGGGGGTCAGTATCATTGGGTATCCGAGTTCGCTCCTCGCAAATACCAGAAGTTCCTAAGCTATATTACTGGTATTCGATGTCAAGACCCATCCTCAGTCATCAAGTAGCTGACGACATTAGGCTGGCTTTGCGCAATGGGATGGCAGTGCGCTATTGTATCCATTGCATTTCTTGCTGGCACCGTCATCCAAGGCCTGATTGTGCTCAACGATTCGGCTTATAATTTTCAACGCTGGCACGGCACCCTATTTGTAATAGCTATTACAACATTTTCTATTCTTTTTAATACCTTTCTAGCCAAGAACTTGCCCGTGGTAGAAGGGTTGATTTTGATCCTCCATGTCATCGGGCTGTTTGCGATTATCATCCCTTTGTGGGTGCTTGCTCCCCGCAACAACCCCAAAGCTGTTTTTACCGAATTCAACAACGGGGGAGGATGGAACAGCCCCGGTACTGCGACGCTGGTCGGCCTATCGACTACCATTACCTCTATGATCGGATATGATTGCTCTGTGCATATGTGTAAGTGGTGACTCTTATGCTGTCTATACAAAGTAGCTAAGTTGCAGTAACAGCCGAAGAAATCAAGGACGCGTCAAGCACATTACCCAAAGCAATGATGGCCTCTATTGGTGTCAACGGCATTTTGGGCCTCATTATGATTATTACGCTTTGTTTTACTATGGGCGACGTTGATAGTATCCTTGCCACCCCTACTGGTTTTCCGTTCATACAAATATTCTACAACACTACCAACAGTTTTACAGCAGCAAATACAATGACCGCAATTTTGATAGTGACATTGACGGCCAGTACTATCACAGAGGTGGCAACAGCATCCCGGCAGCTGTGGTCCTTTGCGAGAGATGGAGGGCTCCCTTTCTCATCCTTCTTTTCCTATGTACGTTGCCATCGACAACATAACTGGATGTCATTCCATTGGGCTAGACTATGACGTGCTGACAGTGTGAATTCGAAATAGGTCACACCGGGATGGCACATCCCACTGAATTCAGTGATGGTCTCACTTGCAGTGACTGTTCTCCTCTCTTTGATCAATATCGGCTCCACCGTCGCTCTTCAGGCCATAGTGTCTCTTGCTATTACCTCTTTGATGTCTGCCTATATTCTTTCTATTGGCTGCATCGTTCTTAAACGAATCCAAGGCGAGCCGCTTCCGCCCCGGAGATGGTCTCTCGGCTCTTTCGGCATGGCTATCAACATTGCATCCTTGCTATTTCTATTCCCAATCTTCGTCTTTTCTTTCTTCCCCCTCACTGCATCTGTTGATAGTAAGACGATGAATTGGAGTGTGGTTATGTATGTGGGAGTGCTCGGTTTTGCATCAATCTATTATTTGCTTCGAGGGAAGTATCATTTTATTGCGCCAGTGGCGCTCGTCAAGAGGGGAGAATAACCTGGATAGCCTTGGCTATTGTGGGCTTGGCAGCAAAACATACGCCCACAGCAAGAAGAGTTTGATGTACAGTACTTTCAATGTCGATAATATCTCTCCATGAATTGTGGGATTGTGAATATGTTCTATTGAATCTTCTCTACAGTCCATTTCCCCCGTGCATTCGCTTATCTATTCCCCTATTGTAAAGCAGGTAATACCACTGTCTGATTCCCATTACGCGTACTATATCATCCAGCCCACAGCTTCTATCGAGGCCACTCCACTTTCTATCTTCAATCTCTTCTGCCTCTTCATTCTGAAGCCTACCAAATTGGGATCCATGAGTCTTAGAACATATTGGATCCCAGTAAGTGATCCACAATACTGCAACATTAAGGGTACCACTGAGCTTGGTCTCACTACCGACCTGCTCTAAGCGGGGTTTCAACTATACCCAGCTTCCCATTCAAGGCCTGATCCAGCTCACAACTCTAGTCATACTTCCTCAAATCCTCTTTCTGAGGAACAAAAAGAGTAAATCACAATTTTTGAAGCATTGGAACATCTCGATACCAAACAAAGAAGATATTATGGTCGAAAGTCCCAGCACTGTAAGGATATATTCCTTGGAGGAAGCCAAACTTTCCAACGACCGCAAAAAAGACTAAAAGGTGGCATGTCCTGACAGTGATGAGTACTGTTATCTCCAAGTTGGACGTTCTAGCCCTCGCTCTAGGCTGTAGTCAGCCAGGGCAACACCATGTCAAAAAGGCCAACCGCAGGGTCCCCGGTGATAATAGCATCCCTGGGCTGCTAAGCCTGTGAAGCTAGACCGGACAAACGCATTCCACTTTGACATCGTACATTTTCATCCCAGTAGTACCGTAAGGAATTTCTTGCTTAATTTTGGTAGTTCTTCATTCATTGCTAACCTACTATAGTACTCGATAGTGACATTGCATTGGGATTCCAATCAAGCGCAGCAAATCTGGGATATTTTGAATTAGATAGCACTCTAACACCTACGGAAATTACATATTTCCAGGAAATCCACTCTCCTCAAGGTTCAGATATGAACAGTTAATGCTGGCCGACAACCTCCCAAAGGTTGAGCGTAGCCCCGATGTGCATTGCGCCTCGGATGGGCAGAATCAACCGTCATATCCGGATCCTGGCAATCATGTTGTTGTCAGTCCCACGCTCTGATAAAAACCTCTATGGCGATGATATGCAGAAAACAAACGGCGCCTGGCGAGGCGTTGCCACATTCTTTAAGTCTATGACCAGTGCTTCGGAGTACGAGAAGATCGACAGAGGATACTTCGAAGAGCTACTAATTGCTAGAGAAGGGAACAACGACAGCAAATATGAGATGATTCATCGAATGCTACTCATCAATAGGACGACACGCAGATTGCGAAGTGTCTCCCAGCCCGCGGCGAGATAGGGCACTATACCTTGCAGCGTGCTCAAACTGACAAATTATATCGAAACACGGATTCCTGGGCATCGAGGAAATATAGCACTCTTCCTCACAAATTGCTGGGTCTGTTTCGGGAAGATAAGCCAGGCTTTCCGGCGGCCATCAGTCTATTTTCCATCCAAAGGTTATGGGCTTGCGTCTTCGAAACTAAAAGGACTTACAACAACATAACCGTAGCGGAATAGGGAAATCTTACTTGTTTTCCCCTGAATCCTCATCGAGCGACCCAGACATCGAACAAAAGATGTTGAAGTTTCTCAGATTGGAACCTGGAAAATATCCCCAGACATCAACAATGAATCATACCTGTGAAGGCAATATAACTTCATGGATACCAGCCGGTGTCGGTAAAAGCCAAAGCATTTTGAGGAGGCTGGCGGCAACAACCGCAAGCCTTGTTACTGGGATTTTGATGTATGTAAGGTAGCGATTTACTCTACAAGACTCTCTAGGACATTATTCTGGATGGCCTCGGTCTCCCACTCTATGGGCTGGAACCTCTCGAGCCCAGGCACTCTCAACACATAAAAAGCGAACTCCGTAAGCTACGCGCCTATATCCTGTACGTTGACACTGCAACATGGGCGATGTTGTGATTCGCAGCCTTTGACCGAATCAAATGCTTGTGTAGCCTTGATGAAGGAGCATTGCGGCCATCCTGCAAGCCCCCAACTATCGCATTCTGTTGTTCTGTAAGTATTATACTAGGTGGCTCTATCTTTTGAATACGCCTAATCTAATATGTGTGCACAGGAGCCAGAATCCCAGATCAAACTGAAGCCCTCGATTTCCTGCTGAGTTTGCCAGAAGTCAGTTTGACTTCGGACTCATAACTAACATTAGCTCGGCTCCACCAATGCTTGAAATAACTAAAGACCCCCTATACCAGCGCCTTTAATATTGGGATAAAATTATGAATGCAGTGGGTATAGGATCATCTCGGGATCTCATACATGATGTGAGTACCGCCCTAGTGACCTGATCATACAAAGGCCCCGAGCATCGTCATACCGTTTCTGATTACTGGGATGGGGCAATACCAATATCCATGGGTTCAGGACTAGTTCGATATATGTTATCTTCAAATGCCTGCGAATCGCCAAAGCCAGGTTATTAGAGTCACAGATTCGGTTCCTTTGGGAAACCTTTCCGAACCGTAACCCTGGAGTACTCTCTCGACTTCCTGAAAAACATGCGACCAATTTTCTGAAACTCCTGTTATAGCTATCTTGTGACTAGGGATTATATTTATCGTGACAGAGTCGTTGAGATGTTTGCGGCTGTTAATGAGGATAGCAGACTTGTATCATCCCTTGGCCTTCAAGCTTCATTCACAGGCAAACTATACGAAGAGATCTTCAGAAGAAAACAGCTAGGTGTCACGGAGTTGAGCTCGCTGGGCAGATAGTGTATCTTCTTGGAGGCTCTTCTATGAAGAAGCCTGCGTATCGTATTCTTGTTGAGGCTAATGGTATACGTCTTTCCGCCTGAAGCTACTAGGCCAAACATCTATTCAAGCCATCAGCCAGCGCCGAATTCTGGATCTGGAAAAGAAAAGATAACAACTGGAAAGAAGTATTGATAGCTCTAGACGTCTTTCGGGTTCTACCTTGTGTCTGCTTGCTTGCTAGGGACTATACCACGGCTTCGGCCTGTAGTCGCAAGGATAATTCATGTAACCGGCCGTGGAGAGGTTGTCGATGGCATACTATGGGATTACAACTGATATCCCACCCTTGCTAGAGATGGAACAACCGATATTCCTCGACCCCTATCAGTTGCCACTCTGGGGTCTCTGCTTCATAGGAGCCCAGCACTTGCTTTTGCGTTATCTGTTCTTCTGTTTCATGACAGTTTCAATCATGGACAGAGCCTAGGCTATAGTCATGCCTATGGCAGGCAGACATCACCAAACTTAGAGATATTTTGCAAAAGACGCAGGAGAACGACACCGATGTCATACCTTCCTTACAGTTCAATACCTTTTTCGAGAGAAACACTACGAGCTGAAGAGCATTCACACTACCAACTTCTTTCGCTAGATCTTGTTCTTCCCACGTGAGATCTTTTTCTGGCAGTCCAATCATTTTCGTTGTGCATGTGTCTACGACTGACCGGACGCCTGACTTTTATGAGCCTCTCAGCGTGAGCCTAGGTACACTCACACTATGGGCAAGGAAACTTACGGGCCATTTAGAGAAAAGCTTCCCTTTCTTATATTCGCCCAATCGTCCAACAAGGTATTTCCACCTAATAGATATACCCAAACCTAGCGGTGCATATTCTATTCCTCGCCCGCTGACAAGAGACTAGATGCCTTGCCATATTAGTGCTGAATAGTTAGGATAGCCTGTCTACTAATTTAGTAGCCCTGTTATCCCTATTCCGGCCTCATATGGACGATGTGCGCATCACCATAAGAGTCGTCGTGGGTGAACCAAGAAGGCTTTATCCAGGCAGAGGGCCTCGCTCAAGGCGGCAGAAATGGCTATCTCTTTGGTAAACTCTACTGAAAAATTGGATGAGACAGGCCAGGCTGAAGTCGAAAAGCTTTTAATGTTATCACAGTGTTTCGATACTGAAAATGACAAACCTCCTACGGGGTGTAAAACTTGGCTTTCCTGCTGTGACTACAGCACTTTCCGCCAATATTTCAACCCATTAAAGTGAAACATACGCACATACGAAGGATAGCAGGTTGAGACTAAGACATCCAGCATCAATCATGTGCTTCGAAAACCCAGGTTGCAGTTATCCTTTACCTGTGAAATGGCTGAAGAGCCAATAATAAGGATATTTTCATTTCAATCCTGTCAGCCACGAGGAAGCCGTATGTGCAATGGAGGTAAAACATATGCCGTATCTCTCTAACCTCCAGCTTTTATCGAAGTTGCCAACATTTCGAGTTCCTCGCGTGTTCGCATCATGGGAACAGGCGAGTACACAGCAACGTCAAGATCCGGGCAAGTTGAAGTAAAATGTCCAAGTACAAGAGGCTGTTTCCCTTTATATAATCTGCAAGGCATATGTGTAAAGTGCATCCGGTACAAATATTCTGTCACAGAACACGAGGACTCCAAGGCCAAACTCGACCCTAGGCACTACCATTGGATTATGCACAAGCGGAGATGACTGGAGTTGGTATTTGCATGGCTTGGTTTTTATATTCCTGGAACAAAGATAACAGTATCATCAATTGGAACTACGCTACAGGCGCTCAGGAAGGGAACATTGATCCAGCATCGGATAAAAACCATGCGCAGAAAGGAGACATGCATAGGCAACAAAAGCAACTTAACGTGGCCGTTATTGGATATTTTAACTCAATCCCCCACATACCAGCAGCATGATGTTGAGTCTCGGACTTCCAAATAGCGGAGTTTAGGTTGGGCTTCAGCTTAAAAAGATCGGTAGATGAACTTCAACATTTTGAAGCTTTAATTGAACGAGAATCGATACTGCCATATTTATAATTCTGAGCTATAGCTATCGAAATACTCCTTCCTTCTTTTGACTGTTCAGCTTGCGAGGCAGT